ACTATCATCCCGTGTGGCCGCCACCAACACGGCTCTTCACTATCGTCCCCTATGGCCGCCACCAACACTGTGTGTGCTCTTCACTATCGCCCCCTATGGCCGCCACCAACACGGCTCTTCACTATCATCCCCTGTGGCCGCCACCAACACGGCTCTTCACTATCGTCCCCTATGGCCGCCACCAACACGGCCCTTCACTATCATTCCCTATGGCCGCCACCAACAGGGCCCTTCACTATCATCCCCTGTGGCCGCCACCAACACGGCTCTTCACTATCATCCCCTATGGCCGCAACCAACACGGCCCTTCACTATCAACCCCTATGGCCACCACCAACATGGCTCTTCACTATCGTCCCCTATGGCCGCCACCAACATGGCTCTTCATTATCATCCCGTGTGGCCGCCACCAACACGGCTCTTCACTGTCATCCCCTGTGGCCGCCACCAACACGGCTCTTCACTATCATCCCCTATGGCCGCCACCAACACGGCTCTTCACTATCATCCCGTGTGGCCGCCACCAACACGGCTCTTCACTATCATCCCCTGTGGCCGCCACCAACACGGCTCTTCACTATCATCCCCTATGGCCGCCACCAACACGGCTCTTCATTATCATCCCGTGTGGCCGCCACCAACACGGCCCTTCACTATCATCCCCTGTGGCCGCCACCAACACGGCTCTTCACTATCATCCCCTATGGCCGCCACCAACACGGCTCTTCACTATCATCCCCTATGGCCGCCACCAACACGGCCCTTCACTATCATCCCCTATGGCCGCAATCAACACGGCCCTTCACTATCATCCCCTGTGGCCGCCACCAACACGGCTCTTCACTATCGTCCCCTATGGCCGCCACCAACACGGCCCTTCACTATCATTCCCTATGGCCGCCACCAACACGGCCCTTCACTATCATCCCCTGTGGCCGCCACCAACACGGCTCTTCACTATCATCCCCTATGGCCGCAACCAACACGGCCCTTCACTATCAACCCCTATGGCCACCACCAACATGGCTCTTCACTATCGTCCCCTATGGCCGCCACCAACATGGCTCTTCACTATCGTCCCCTATGGCCGCCGCCAACATGGCTCTTCACTATCATCCCCTATGGCCGCCACCAACACGGCTCTTCACTATCATCCCCTATGGCCGCCACCAACATGGCTCTTCACTATCATCCCCTATGGCCGCCACCAACATGGCCCTTCACTATCGTCCCCCTGTGGCCGCCACCAACGAGGCCCTTCACTATCGTCCCCCTAGGGCCGCAACCAACACGGCCCTTCACTATCGACCCCTGTGGCCGCAACCAACACGGCTCTTCACTATCAACCCCTATGGCCGCCACCAACATGGCTCTTCACTATCGTCCCCTATGGCCGCCACCAACACGGCTCTTCACTATCATCCCGTGTGGCCGCCACCAACACGGCTCTTCACTATCGTCCCCTATGGCCGCCACCAACACTGTGTGTGCTCTTCACTATCGCCCCCTATGGCCGCCACCAACATGGCTCTTCACTATCATCCCCTGTGGCCGCCACCAACATGGCTCTTCACTATCATCCCCTATGGCCGCCACCAACACAGAGAGAGAGAGAGAGAAAGAGAGAGAGAGAGAGAGAGAGAGAGAGAGAGAGAGAGAGAGAGAGAGAGAGAGAGAGAGAGAGAGTGAGTGAGTGTGTGTGTGTGTGTGTGTGTGTGTGTGTGTGTGTGTGTGTGTGTGTGTGTACCGGACGTACATTATTAAAGAAATAAAGGACGAGTGGGAGTTCTCTATCGTACAATAAAACACTGCAGTAGGAATAAACCGGGGCGCAGCACGGTGTCAACGTTATGTACAGACTCTTTAAGGATGTTGATAAAGTGTACAAGCTTTAAAGATATTTATCGAAATATTAATAATGACGACTCCCTGAATAGAATCCGGCCCCGGTGGGTTAAGTTTGGTATTTTCCCCCATATTCTCACAATCCGATTATCTCTACCTTTTCTCCAAATACCGATTGTCATACCTCTCCCACTTTTGGATGCGATCGTTAAGCCACTGCGTTTATCTGCGTAGCCCAGCTACATCTACGGGGAACAATTCACTAAATAACTCACTGAAACACTCCCCTCTCAAAATAAACGTCGTTGTATTTACGACGTCATCAAATTGCGAGTGCATGTTCGAATCTCCAGAAATTACGTCATGATAGAACAATGTTTTATCGTGAAATATATCACGCTTCGTTCTTCGTTGTTCTTTGTGATTTATCGCGTAGCTATCTTATATCTCTCATTTCTGAAGATTCGAACGTACGCTCGCAACTTGATGACGTCGCATATTGGACGACGTTGTTTGTTAGAGGGGAGTGTCTAGTTAATTGTTCCCCATAGATGTATCTGGGCAACGCAGATAAATGCGATAGCCGAACGATCGCATCCCAAAGCGGGAGAGATATAACAATCGGTATTGGGAGAAAAGATACTGGTAATCGAAGTGAGGATTGTGAGAATATTTTGAATAAAATAGACTTGTCCGACATTGCCGAGGTCTGATTGTATTGTCGGAGTCATCATTATTTATATACGGGTAAATATTATTTTTAAAGCTTGTACATTTCATCGTCATCCTTAAAGAGGCTGTACATAATGTTGATATCTCATAAAAGAAATAAACGATGAGAGGGATTTGTTTGTCGTACAATAAAACACGAATAGAATACACCATGAGGGGCTGGCTGCGGCTTTATTTTTAAATAGAGACTACCGGACGTACATTATATATATATAGAGAGAGAGGTGAATGGCGGCCATGAAATGCGGGGTGGATATTTGTTGGCAGTGACAGTGTTATGTTTAAAGATTTTATTTTTTTTGGTTTGTTTGTTGTTTAACGCCGCACTCAGCAATATTCCAGCTATATGACGGCGGTCTGTAAAATAATAGAGTCTGGACCAGACAATCCAGTGGTTGACATCATGAGCATCGATCCACGCAATTGGGATCGATGACATGTATCAACCAAGTCAGCGAGCCTGACCACCCGATCCCGTTGGTCACCTTTTACGACAAGCATAGTCGCCTTTTACGGCAAGGGTGGGTTGCTGAAGACCTATTCTACCCCTGAATCTTCACGGCCGGGTCTCTTTGAATCGTATCTCAATTCGTATATCAATTAACGTTCAGTTCAAAGCCTTGATGTATAGATAGCTGAGTACGTGACGTATATATAATACGTCATTGTTTCAATCCAGCGAGTGGTGAAATCTGCCATATATTCGGTTAATTATCATTTGTTATTCCCACCTTTTATCAGTATGGTCAATTCACGTCGTGATGTTCTCACCGCATTTGCCAAAGAGGGGTCAGGGCCCAGATGCAGAAAGCGCTCTTAATTAGCACTACGAATATTGTCAATAACTATTGTTAAGCCAAAGTCTCGGACCATTAGGTGGTAGCGGATTAGAATGGAATTGCCTATTCGTGTGTTACTCTTGAAACGTGACGTAAGGGATGTTCAAACAAAAATGCAGTCTGAACACAGGTTCCAGGTATAAATAGAAAAGTAAAGTACCCAGAAAAGTACCCTTCCCTAAATATTTAACAAAGCTTTCCCAGCAAAGGACTGTAGATATATTGCCTGTCACGTTCCCTTCTACACAGCATCTTCGGTTATCCAGGGTATTATATATCCAATCTGTTATTATAAATACCCTGGTCACAGACGTTAACATAGCTTCTTTGCGAGCTATATTCCTGGAGAATACCACAGGAGACGGGGTGTATATCATAATAACATGGAGATATACGCTGGACAATCAAGCAGCTAGACTGCGGCCTTATCAATGGCGCTGTAATAATTATCAATATAAGGCTGTAAATCTATCTACTTTGCAGCTGAAAGCACAGGCGATACTTCTTTTTAGATAATCAATTTTACATTTTGAGATAAATATGGTATGTAATAATTAAATACTTAAATACAGCTTGTACATTTTAATGTGTAGATGAAAGTGTCTGGAAAAATTGCATTATTCATTGGAGATTGCACCTTTAATAGTAATAACGTGATGAACAATATAGTTGTGTATGAACAGGAAGACATGAACATCTACAATGAACAGAACGACTGTATCATCCGGGTACTCACAGGAAAAAACAATAACAAGGCAACAACCAGTCCCGGGGAATTGCTTTAGATCAGTGCCCCTTTAAATGATCAGCCAAGATTTATGACGTGGACTGTGACGTCATAAACTTGACATTATGAGGGTAACGTGATCAAATATATCCTGAGTACCTTCAATGCTAACATATATGAAAATGTGTTATTATCAATAACCTATTTAATAAATTTGCTTATACTTGAAATAGTCTCTTGCGATATCTCTGCCTGACAATGTTAACTTGGGAATTCCCTATCCCATAATGCAGTATTGGCCCACTTGCAAATGACACCCAAGATGTTTGTAAATCTGTTCTGTAAATCTATGCCTATGACACAATACACAGGGGAAAGCTACGTGATTAACAAGTCCAAATGTTATTAAACAACTTCATAACTTTAGTATTTATTTGATAATAATTCAAAAGGTTTAACAATTTCAGTATGACCTATTTCCCACATGATGCACACAAGCTGCCCTTGAACAGGTAATAGACTACAGTTAGCAAACATAATGTATTCTCTGAAAGTAATGTAAGGAACGTATGTACAAAAGTGACTATGTTAATCCAATGGTAGGACTTAAGAGTCAAACAATTGTTCTCTACACTTATTGTTTACACTCTTCGCAGACAGTCCTGATATTATTCGGAACAGACTATAGAAATAGCTGAGCATAATGATATGCGATTTGTGTGTTTTTTTCTTCGGGAGATTACTGCGCAGTTTGCAGTGATTAAAGGACATTTTGTCCTTTATTCTATACAATGCCAGGATAAGATGTCCGTTTTCTACATGACAATAACTTTCAAATCAACCTCTCAAAGGACTTTGGCCCCTCTATGAATTAAGGGACTATTTCTCGATGCGCAGGGATTTCTAAGATTGCGACATTGCGGTCAAAACATGCAAACTGCACGTAGACAACAAAGTGTTGAAGAAAATCTAGTGTTTTGAAAATTTTAAGGTAGGTGTGAGTAATTCGAGGATGATACACATTTTCTCTATGTCTGTACTTGGTGGTGGCATACATAGAGTCGCTCATTAGGACTTGTAGTTCATGCCTGCAGAGGTAATGTCTCCGTCGCCATCCCCTGACAGTCACTTCTTCTCATGTGAACCGCTAAGTAACCGAACAAATTTTGTGATTCGGGAAATATCTGGTGTTATCTGTAGGGTTTATCGTGTTTTTCGGGTTCTATACAACTTAGTGTCTATGTTGCAAAATCTGACATTGCTTGATTTTTTACAGAAATGTGCAATATCTAAGTTTGTATATTTGGGAAAGTCAACATCATCTTGTCGGCACCTGACGCCATATTGTTGTCCGTGAGACGGAAGTTGAATGATAGTGGACGAATTGTGCTGTCCCTGCGAGTTTATGTTCATTTGTAATATTTAAGCCGTTATAATGGTGAATAGCTTTCAATGGAGACATGTTGTTTTCCTAATATTTCTTCATTTATACGGATTGGACCTGGTTTGGCGAATTTCCCAATAGTATGAAACACAACATAATGATCGGCAATCGTGAGAGGAACTACTTTCTTACTACCATTACGTTTGGCTGTTAGGCCTAGTACGCGTAGTAGAAATAAAAGATATGATAGTAAGGGATTTATTAACTGTTAGTAGACTTATTGACATCGGAATGTCTAAACTTATGTTACTATATTACTAATAAATATAGCGTACAAACTGTCATTTTGATAAGTCAGGTTGGCGACATGTCAAATTTCGCCTACCAGGAAAAGAAATTTAGTAAAGAGCGGTGTGAAACAGTTACTGTCCTGCAATGTGGTTTATTGACTACAAAAATGACAAAATGTCAGTTAATTTTTTTTCTCACAGCTAGTACTTCTCTTGGTATTTTAAGTTTCTGATATTCATGTCATAATTTTGTTCAAGTTCAGTTACCATCACTGCTTGTTTCATTAGCCAAGCAGCACTTTGAAATACAGTGCCACAACTTCTTGTGACAAGCAACCAGTTTTTGTGAGAATCTGTTGGACGTGAACCACACTCTTAAACTTACAAATTTCCCTCATAATAGTTGCCACTTATGACAAGCATGGGTTGCTGAAGACCTATTCTAACCCAGATCTTCATGGGTTGGAAGTAGGAAGGCGTAGTTATTGATGCCACGAAGTGGATTAGCTTTTGAATCATTACTGACGGAATTTAGTGAATGAAAGTGGCTTGGATGGAAATTCAATGACAGTTTCCTGTAGCCTAACGTTTGATGTTTATCAACTTCATCCTAGCAGGTCACTTGACATTTTTTGTGAGAAGAATAAATGCAACCGAAAATGTGAAAGCAATAAGATAAACCAGAAAGCCCAAGTGCATTTATTTGCATGCTTCTTGTCTTAAGCTTCCATGCTTGAAAATGCATTTGAAGGGGTACTACCCCTTAGACATGTTAGACCTCCTACACAGCTCATCAAGCCCCGTATCCATCCTTGTGATTACATATCTAATTGATTTATTGCACAAGAAATCCCACGGTAGACGTTAAGATGCGTGCAACGTCAATAAATAAATACCTAATAAATTGCATTCCTGTGCATAATGATGAAAACTACCGAATTGAAAAAAATAAAATACCATATGCATATTACTTCCCACATATGATCAATTTATCCTCATGAATTAAGTTGAAATGGGGAAAAAGTACATTGAAAATATAAATGCTTTCATAAAATGGTGCCTGCTATTAAATGTATTGTTATAGGCTACATTTAGTAAACAAATATTGAAAACTCATAACATCCCTGGGCCTATTCAGTGACATTGCATGTAGACATGATAGATCACTGAGAGGAGCTTATGCATTTCAGTGACCCCTGATGTCACGGGTCATTGTTTCACTGGTGTATCAGGCAACAATATATCAGTATCACAAATTACGTCAACGGGTATTGTGATGTGTTTGAAAAGTTGTGTTCATTGAATTGTTTGTTGTGTGCAAACAACTGATGCAATGTATGATCACATGGCTTTCATTTTAATGGCCGCCTCCATGGTCTAGTGGTCTAGCATCCACCTGGAGAGTGGAAGGCCCGGGGTTTGATCCCTGACAGCCTCATACCAAAATATGTTAAAAGATGGTACTTGTTGTTACCCTGCCTGTCGCTCAGTATTAAGGGGCTAAGACAAGGACTGGTTGGCTCGGAGTATACTGTGTCTGAGTGGGGTATTCATTTTAAACTGCGGCATGGTATCTCAGTTGGCTAGCACTTTAAAATCGGCACAAGTCCGAACTAGTACAAGGAACCACACACACTTACACACGTGCATGCACATCACTATACAAGTTCAATACTCTTTAACACATCGTTAAACCCAATTTCTCCACTACATTCCACATAAGGATAGATACACACCATCAACATGGAGGTAATGAATTTGCACATGTTTAAGTGTATTATATTAATCATGTTGAGTTGTTGTTCTGTTATAGGACGTGTTTGGTTGGTGTTTGATGGCAACATGGAGTCATCAAGTGGAGGATCGAGTGGAACAACGAGTGGACCCTCGAGTGGAACAACAAGTGGACCCTCGAGTGGAACATCAAGTGGCGGATCGAGTGGGGGATCTAGCAGTATCCCAAAGATCATGGTGTTCAGACCCACCATGGAGGAGTTCAGCAACTTCCCCAAATACATGGAGTACATTGAGTCCCAGGGGGCACACAAGGCAGGCCTTGCCAAGGTAACATGCTACACTTAAAAAAACTATATCTTGCAGGGCTCACCTCCTCATTCACAATAATGTTATAACATTTGAGAGGTACATTGATTTGATGGTCAATACAGGTGAGGGGTATGTTCTTTTTTGTGTGATGTTTAAACTACTCACTGTGTAACAGGTGATTCCTCCCCCGGAGTGGAAGCCACGGCGGAACGGCTATGATGATGTTAACATCACCATCCCTGCCCCCATCACCCAGATGGTGACCGGCTGTCAAGGGCTGTATACACAGTTCAACATTCAGAAGAAATCTTTGACTGTCAGAGAGTTTGAGAAACTTGCAAATAGTGACAGGTAGGTGCTTTCATCTTCTGTTCACATCTTCAACACGGAATTAACTTTTTCAACATGTCAAAATAGTATGTAGTGTTTTTGATGGTACATGGTAGTTTTTATTCAGTGGTTACTTGATGGTACAGGGTAACATTGTTTATTCAGTGTTTGCTTGGTGATGCATAGCAACAGTGGTTAATCAGTGTTTTTTAGTGGCACATGTAACAGTTAAGGCTCACAGGTGCAGTGTTTGTTGCTAGGTACAAGACTCCTAATCACTTTGACTATGAGGAACTAGAGAGGAAGTACTGGAAGAATGTCACGTTTGGATCTCCAATATATGGTGCCGACATTTCGGGTTCTCTCTATGATGAAGATCAAACGCTGTGGAACATTAATAAGCTAGGCACCATCCTGGATTACGTTGCCGGCGACTACGGAATCCACATTGAGGGAGTCAACACTGCATATCTCTACTTTGGTATGTGGAAGACCACATTTGCCTGGCACACAGAGGATATGGATCTGTACAGTATAAACTATGTACACTTTGGGGCCCCCAAGTCATGGTATTGCATCCCACCTGAGCATGGTCGCAGACTGGAGCGATTGGCTCAAGGTAAGAAACATATTTACATGGTAACTGATGCCCAGGGTCTTCATGAAATTCATCTTTGTAGTTTAAATATTTTTTATAAAGAACTATTTAAGGCCAATGAAATTCATATAACTCTGTAAGTCTAAATGGAAATTGTGCCACATTTTGGTCATCAGCCATTCAAATGTCAGATTGTGGACTCGCTCAATATTCCAGCACAGCAGCAGCCTTGATGAGAGTCGTGAGATATGGCTTCCCCTCTTGTAAATACCAAGTGTCAGTGTCCAAACTATGACATTTATTGACTTCCAAGTTTTCTATTCTAGGATTCTTCCCAAGCAGCTTCCAGGCCTGTCCAGCCTTTCTTCGCCACAAGATGACCCTCATTTCCCCACACATTCTCAAACAGTACTCCATACCATATAACAAGGTCAGTCTCGCCACAAGTTCTCAAAAAAGTAAACCATACCATGTAACAAGGTCAGCCTCGCCACAAACTCTCATACAGTACTCCATACCATGTAACAGGTCAGCCTCGCCACAAATTCTCACACAGTACTCTCCATACCATGTAACAGGTCAGTCTTGCCATAAATTCTCAACCAGTACTCCATGCCATATAACAAGGTCAGTCTTGCCACACATTCCTATACAGTTCTCCATACCATGTAGCCAGTGTTGTCAGTGTATAGATATGACATCTCCCTTAACCTTCCTTGTTTTAGACCGCCTCCGTGGTCTTGTGGTAGAGCGTCCGCCCGGAGAGCGGAAGGTCCAGGGTTCGATCCCGGGCCGCGTCATGCAAAAAGACGTTAAAAGATTGTACTTGTTGTTACCCTGTCTGGCGCTCGGCATTAAGGGGCTAAAACAAGGACTGGTCGGCTCGGAGTCAGTATACTGTGTCTGAGTGGGGTATTCATGTTAAACTGCGGCATGGTATCTCAGTGAGCTAGCACTATAAATCGTCATCAGTCCGGACTAGTACAAGCAGCCACACACGCGCATACACGTGCATGCACGTCGCTATATAAGTGCAATAATCTTGGACGCGACGTTAAACCCAATTTCACCTCACCTCACCTTCCTTGTTTTATAACTCTGTGTACTGTGGATAGATGACTACAGTGATGATGATCTTCCTTCTGTTAGATTACACAAGAAGCAGGGGAGTTCATGATCACTTTCCCCTACGGCTACCACTCAGGCTACAACCATGGCTTTAACTGTGCAGAGTCCACAAACTTCGCCACAGAGAGATGGGTGGAATATGGAAAGAGATGCTTGCAGGTGAGAGTGATCGAAGGCCAGTGTGGCAGCAATGTTGTACATTTAGTTTGATAAAAGCTTCCTATCAGGAGCATATCCACAGTCTTGTGGGGTTGGTGTATGCTTATATGTTGATTAAAAATGTTTTAGAGATAGATTATAGATGTACCCTACTGTTTGCCGATGGACTTGTACTCTACTGCATTGTGCCAGACGATCTTACTGTGTACCATACTGCAGTGTGTCAGATGGACTAACTGCTTGTACCATACTGCTGTGTGTCAGATGATCTTACTGTGTGTACCATACTGCTGTGTGTCAGATGGTCTTACTGTGTGTACCATACTGCTGTAGGTCGGATGATCTTACTGTGTGTACCATACTGCAGTGTGTCAGATGGTCTTACTGTGTGTACCATACTGCTGTGTGCCAGATGATCTTACTGTGTGTACCATACTGCTGTGTGTCAGATGATCTTACTGTGTGTACCATACTGCAGTGTGTCAGATGGACTATCTGTGTGTACCATACTGCAGTGTGTCAGATGGACTAACTGTGTGTACCATACTGCTGTGTATCAGATGATCTTACTGTGTGTACCATACTGCTGTGTGTCAGATGGACTATCTGTGTGTACCATACTGCATTGTGTCAGATGGTCTTACTGTGTGTACCATACTGCTGTAGGTCAGATGATCTTACTGTGTGTACCATACTGCAGTGTGTCAGATGGACTATCTGTGTACCATACTGCAGTGTGTCAGATGGACTAACTGTGTGCACCATACTGCTGTGTGCCAGATGATCTTTCTGTGTGTACCATACTGCAGTGTGTCAAATTGACTTACTGTGTGTACCATACTGCTGTGTGCCAGATGGTCTTACTGTGTGTACCATACTGCAGTGTGTCAGATGGACTTGCTGTGTGTGTCAGATGGACATGCTGTGTGTACCATACTGCAGTGTGTCAGATGGACTTGCTGTGTGTACCATACTGCAGTGTGTCAGATTGACTTGCTGTGTGTACCCTACTGCAGTGTGTCAGATGGACTTGCTGTGTGTACCATACTGCAATGTGTCAGATGGACTTGCTGTGTGTACCATATTGCAGTGTGTCAGATGGACTATCTGTGTGTACCATACTGCTGTGTGACAGATGGACTTGCTGTGTGTACCATACTGCAGTGTGTCAGATGGACTTGCTGTGTGTACCATACTGCAGTGTGTCAGATGGACTTGCTGCGTGTACCATACTGCAGTGTGTCAGATGGACTTGCTGTGTGTACCATACTGCTGTGTGTCAGATGGACTTACTGTGTGTACCATACTGTTGTGTGTCAGATTGACTTACTGTGTGTACCATACTGCAGTGTGTCAGATGGACATGCTGTGTGTACCATACTGCATTGTGCCAGATGGACTTACTGTGTGTACCATACTGCAGTGTGTCAGATTGACTTGCTGTGTGTACCCTACTGCAGTGTGTCAGATGGACTTGCTGTGGGTACCATACTGCAATGTGTCAGATGGACTTGCTGTGTGTACCATATTGCAGTGTGTCAGATGGACTATCTGTGTGTACCATACTGCTGTGTGACAGATGGACTTGCTGTGTGTACCATACTGCAGTGTCAGATGGACTTGCTGTGTGTACCATACTGCAGTGTGTCAGATGGACTTGCTGTGTGTACCATACTGCATTGTGTCAGATGGACATGCTGTGTGTACCATACTGCAGTGTGTCAGATGGACATGCTGTGTGTACTTACTGTGTGTTCTCTACTGCAGTGTGTGTGTAGGAAGGATGGGGTCAAGATCAGCATGGACACATTTGTGAAGCGGTTTCAGCCTGACAGATATGACCTGTGGAAGGCTGGCAAGGATATTGCCCCACATCCAGAGGAGGACAAGAGCAGGCTCTCCAAATAGTGAGTCGCTGTTGAAGTATGCCTGGTATTCTGTCTAATCACAGTTGATTGTTTAATACAATGGTACCTATTATTGGACTTATCTTTTTAAGTTAACAGTCTTGAACGATTCTGATATGTTTTGCTTTATCATTGTTGTGTCTTGCCCAGGGCAATGAGCAGGTAGAAAGATATGTGTTGACAAGTCACTTACAAAGAAATATGGTTGTTGGACAGGGCACTGGGTAGGTAGAAAGATTGGTGTTGCAAAGGGCACTGAGCTGGTAGAAAGATTGGTGTGACCTCTACCTGGTTAAATTCCTGTATGGGATAGAAGCTGCTGAAGACTAGCTTAACCGTTACAATTCAACTGAACATGAAAGATTTGTAATAAGAAAACTGTTGCCCTGTTTTGTAGAGAAGCTTGATATACAGCTTCTAATCATCACATGTTGCTTTCAGTGATTCAAGGAAAATTCAAGCCAACAGAGCAGGAACTGTTTGCACCAAACGTCACCCCGTATCTAAACTGGATGATGTGAACAAACGTGGGCGGAAGAAAAAGACTAACCTGGAGAAAGAGGAACAAGCTGAGGAGAAGTCAGACACTGTTGATGTCAAGGTAGAAGAGGGGGCAACCCCAGTGGATGGAGAAGAGAAGAAGAAGAAAAAGAAGAGGAAGAAGAAGGACCCACAGGACCAAAAGAATGAGACACTGGGTCTATGGGGAGATGAGGACATGACAGAAAAAATGAAGGAGGAGTTGAATAAGCAGGAAAGAATAATGAAGGCCGAAGCTGCTGCTCGGAGGAAGATAGAGTTTTATCTTAAAGATGTGAAGAAGCAAGAGGGTGAAGCAGAGGCAAAGACTGTCAAGAAAGGCCCTACTTCATTCCAGGCTGCATTTGAACAGTTGTTAAATGAACCACCAAGTAGTATGCCAGAAAGTCCAGAGCCGATCACAAAGAAGATTAAGAAACCAAGCCAGTCTCCACGTTCGGATGGAGAACCGCCAGCTAAGAAGAAGAAATCTGGGCAAGCTGTTCACTCTGTGATTCCCCTGGATCAGATCAAGGCTCTGACTGCTGCCGGTGACAAGATGGGATTCCTTCAACAACTCAATGACATGGAGAGGAAGAAACTGCCCAAAAGTCAACTCCAGTCATATCTTCAACAAGGGAATAACTCCAATATTACAGAGCTCAGACACAAAATAGAACAAATAGCAGCATTGAATGAACAATTCAACTCGACAAGTTCTGCTGGTTCATCATCATCATCATCACTACATCAGGGATCCCTCACTCAGAACGGTCATGATGCATACTCGCGACCACTCCTCACAAGTTCGTCAACTCAAGAAGGTGCTTCCAACTGGTCAAGTCCTCCATCATCATCTACACCTGGCAGTCTAGGGTCTGGTGGACTCATCAACCAGCAAAGTCTTGTTGGTGTCCCATCTGGAATAAGACCAATAGAGGCTGTCTATAAGAAATCACAACAGAAACGAACACTTTCCAATATGCACAGAAAGCCAGCAAAAGTTATTCCACTCGCTAATATCTCACACATACTTGGCTGTAGAAGTATTTCAGAAGCTGTCGGTAGTGGACTTTCTGTACAAGCTGATGTCCCTGCTCTGAAGTCTGTGTCTGTTAGTCCGCAGACAGCCCTCACCAGTGACACAGTGTTGTCAACCCCACCCCATAACAACATGCATTCATCTCACCTTCAGCAACAGCTGCAACAACATCAGCAGTCATCTCCACAACCACCTAAGCTGCAGCCAGTACAGAACCAACAGTGTCTACAAGACACCATCCATGAGCATCCTCCTCAACTGTCACCCTCACAGCCGCCGTCTCTGTCTCAGCAATCTGGGCTGTCCCACCTGTCTCAGCAGCTCCTGCTGCAGAAGATGAACCCTGAGGAACTGCTCCAGCAGTACCAGCTCAAGCAGCAGAAGAGCAAGTCACAGCTGGAAAGACAGCAGCAGCTGCTGCAGAGGATCCAGGAACAGCAGCAGTCTCCCTTGCTCAAGTCCCCAGCTTACAAAGATTCCAATAAAACATATCACCACCAGTCAGCTGTGCAGATGACTGCCAGTCAATTGTTGGCTTCTAATGGACAGATTACGAAGTCTAGTGCGACATCACCCAATCAGCAATATCCGGTCCTTCACAAGGCAGTGTCACCCCAGCAGCAGAGAAGTACGTACACCGTCCAGAATGTCAGTCCCACATTGGGCTCACAGCACCATCCTCAGACCTCTCTGTCTGCTGGTAGTATGTACCCCACTCAGTCTGCCGGAGTCGTTGTGTCTTCTGCAAGCGGCATGAATCACTCACCTCCAAGAACTGCCATGCAGACAACACAGGTTACACCCATGTCCTTGTCTCCACAGCAGCTATTGAAAGCATTGACTGCCCAGAACACTTCACAGCAGCAACAGGCAAATGCTGTAAATGTCCTTAATATGGGTGGCCAACAAAGTCAGAAATCTGTGCAAAGAAGTAATGTCAGCCAGTCTCAACAAATATCAGGTGTTCAACCTGTGACTAATGTTCTCCGTGTTTTGTCTGGTGTCCCTCAGACTCAAATAGTGGCAAACTCAGGCAAACAGCAGATGTCCCTGCTGTCTCAATCCCAAGCAGCTGCCATCAAGCAGCAGCAACAACAGCAACAGGCTCAGTTCATACTGCAGGGAGTTTCTCAGATCCACCCTACAGGGACAGCCATGACCACTAAACACAGGACTGTTGTGCAAGTGGGAGCTTCAAACACAGCGCCACAGGCAACTATGTTAAGGACACCTAATCCACCAATACTTGCTACCTCTCATACTTCCAGTGTGAAATCTGTACCAGGTGTACACACTCAAGTGTCCTTGAACAATAAAGTTGGTACCACGTTGAATATTCCCAGTGTGATCCCTAGTGTCAATGCTCAGCAGAGCGCCCATCGGTTGTCAGTGCAGCAACATCATCATGGAGCAAAGCAGAGCTCAGCATTTGCCACCAGCTACATATCTGCTAGCACGACTCCTTCTGGAACGACTGTACTGTCTCCTGTCCAGATCCAGATACCTCAAGCCGAGGCAGTTCTACCGGGATCGTACGAGTCCCCTGCTGCATTCCTTGCTAGTGCTAATCCTGTGCTCCCCAATGATGGAGGAAGTCTCTCCCTGCTTGCTGGAGCATCCATGTTGTCTACCTCAAATACCATGTATAACATGCAACATGATGGGTCAACACTTGGCTTGCATTCTGCTTCTCAAAGAGACATGTCAAATGTGAACTCTATGTTGAATGGCGGTAGTATCCATCAAACCAACTCCTCAGTGAGCTCAAGATTCCCTTCTCAACAGACTGGCGGTGTCAGTAGTGCCATGTCCTCTTTCCTCACATCATCTAACAATGACTTCCAGTCACCTCCGAAACTGACTTGTGTAAATAACCAATTATCTAATATATCTCATGGTGTATCAGTGTCTGAGCTGTCAAGTAGAAGCTCAATGCATCAGCTAGTTCCCCAGCCTATAGTCCCTGCAACACAGGTCTCCCCAACCTCGCACTCCTCCGAGCCTGTCATGCCCACCCTGTCACCTCAGCTCCACAGTTACGCCTTACCACCCTCCTCCGCCAACACTGTAGCGAAGAGGAGCCTCCACTCAAGCTTGTCTCAGATGCAGCATCAGCAGCAGCAGTCATCACTTGCTGGTTACAATGGTGTGGGAGACCACATGTATATGTCCCAGTTGCCAGGGGCGCGGTCAAGTGATGAGTACACTTCTGGTGATGACAGCCTGCTTGGGCGTGGCTTCCTGGATGGACGAGGCGATGGTATCATGCAGTCCCCATTCTCAGGTAACAAGGTATATGTTGCAACTTTCTTCAGCATTTTTGCAGAATTTGTCAACTGGGAGGGAAGAGAGCTTTATCAGGTTACTGAAATTTTGATACCTTGCGACATTTCATATCTTATCATGCTTTTTAAAGGTATTCCAGATTTTTCACCATGGTCACTCACATCTGATTGAGAAAAACAAAGATTTGATAGTTATTCCTATGAGTAATCATGGAAAGAACAGGGAATTATAAGTATTTGATCTCCACTTCTAGGCCTGATACAGCGTCTTCCCAGTTGTACCGTGTTTTAATATCTTATGCTCACAATGCACTGATCATGTTGATAAAGAAGGAACAGTTTACTTGCAGTGAGATAGGTGAGGAGTTTAATGCAAACCTCTGCAGAAATGCTTTCTCCATTAATGTTGGTGTGTCAAGTGTGGCCATTAATCCTCAGTTGTGTTGGAGTACAGCAGCATGTCAGTTGTCTATAGTGATGTTTCAGTGCATGATGAGAAAGCAGATTTAATCGTTGTACTTGCATGCAAATATTTAATACCAGTATTCTTCAGTGACATGAAGTTAATTTTCAGTATCATGATAACGATGTTCAGTGTTGGGGAATATTGTGCCAGGTCAGCATGTTGTGTGGTGTTGCATGAATTGCGGGTTGTGTAAGACCGTGACCCCTGTGGCTATGTCAGTCCAGCTGCTTCAGGTTGCTGCTGCTGTTTCAGGATTCTTCCAGTGGTACTAAAGGTACTGATTCCATAGCATCATCTGACAGCTCGGATACAACCATCTGTACAAAGAAAACTAACAAACACAAAGCTAGTAAACATAATAAGTTAGAATCACAGAACAACACTCCAGTATCACTTACATTGTTACCTTCATCCAAGAAAGAGTCTGATACCAGTAAAGCAGCAAGAAAGAAGAACTCCTCTACACCTAAAACAGTCAACCCTGAAGAATGTTCAGGTAAATATCTTGCTCTTTACTTGTAATTGTATACTTAATAAAAGTGGGGTAGCGTTCTGGGGATGAGTCGTAAACTTGGAGTAGCCAATCAGTTGAATACACTACTATGCTACTGAGCATTCTTTTAGAATTAGTCATGTACAGCTAGGATTTCTGGTGATAGTATTTGGATATTGGTAGCAGTTCACATGCTAACATTGATTATTGATTATTGATATCAACAGACAGTTCAAGTGAGTCCAAGCCCCCAGCTACTGTTGAACTCACAGAGCCGTGGGCCGCACCCATTCGAGCACTTTGGCATGAACAACCCCTCAATTTTGAAGCTGAGAAGAACTTCAACAAGTTTCTGTCCCACAGAAGCCCACACTGTGCAATATGTGCAGTCTTCAACCCTGTAGAGGTGAGTCTGGCTTCTTAGCAGTCTTCACCCCAGTGCTTACCAGGAACAGTGCAGGAACAGGCAGACTTGACCAGTTGACAGACAGATCACTTATTTGCCTTTATGATCCAATCATGCAAACTGCTTTTGTTACAATTGTACTTGTGTCAGATGTTCTTATCTTTGTTAATGGGAGTCACTTGCTTGTCAGATATGTGAAATAGGCTGAAATATTAGCGACGTCCAATCCCCCTCATATACATATCCACGAAGTGGAAGGGGGATATAGGAATGGGTGCCGTCCGTCCGTCTGTCACATTTCGTTTCCCGGGCACATCTTGAAAACCGTACCTATTTCTTCACCAAAATTGGCACATAGCTAGGTCTAGTGATGAACTGGTGCCTTTTGGTAGGTTTGGGATTTTTAAAAAAAATATTTTTCGAGTTTCCATGGCAACGACTTTGATTTAGACTGAAAATGGCGGTAGTCCTCGTTTCAGGAGCAGATCTTGAAAACCGTACCATATTTCTTCACCAAACTTGGCACATAATGTTATCTCGCTGTATTGAATACATTTCCTTTCTTGTTGGTAAGTTCTGCATCGTTTTTGTGTATGTTCCTCCAAAAGTGTCATGGACACGGTTGTTGCATTCACTGACTAACTTCATGCAGAAACACAACTCATTACAAATACAACAGTGTAACTGATCTTAAACCTACTCAACTGTATAAACACTGCCTCCTATCCTGTTTATATTCCTGTCAACCATACTCTGTACTTCACTTGCTTGATAACGGTGTTAGAACCTACACCGAAACCATCGCTCCTAACTGTAATAAAGAAGTTGTTCGTCCATATGTCTCATCCTTACTCATTACAAATACAGTTACATATTCTATCATAAACTGCAGATAACAAAACAACACCAGTAATGACTTTTTTTACTGCTGCAATTAGGCCATTTAAAAAAATCCCCAGTAAAACATAGTTCACAGGAGCTAATGCATTGCACACAACCGAACATGTCATATTGGCGGGGGATATGACTATTTCATGCTTGTTCTTTAATGAATGAAGGGAAAATAAACTGATTGTCCTACAGATAGATAGATGTATGTATTAACTTATTCCCTAAGACAAATATTTTTTTAATCATGTTATTCAGAGCTTCTTCTTGTCTTGAATTGGTATATATTAACTCTTCTTTCATGACAGAACGAGTTCCAAGGACTAGACTTTGCTGATGTGTCCACCTTGAACAACAAAGTGATGACCACAATCCCAAACAGGTCCAAGCCCCTCGTACCCGAGATATGTTTCTCTGCCAGTAGTAACGACCCCAGTCCATTTGCCAGCAACCCAATACTGGAGACCGATGGTCAAAGTCCTCTCCTCGTGTGCAACAAGTGCAACGTCTGTGTCCATGCCAGTAAGTATAGTGTGCCATCAGTGCAATGTCTGTGTCCATGCCAGTAAGTATAGTGTGCCATCAGTGCAATGTGCCATCAGTGCAATGTCTGTGTCCATGCCAGTAAGTATAGTGTGCCATCAGTGCAATGTCTGTGTCCATGCCAGTAAGTATAGTGTGCCATCAGTGCAATGTCTGTGTCCATGCCAGGAAGTATAGTGTGCCATCAGTGCAACGCCTGTGTCCATGCCAGGAAGTATAGTGTGCCATCAGTGCAACACCTGTGTCCATGCCAGTAAGTATAGTGTGCCATCAGTGCAACGCCTGTGTCCATGCCAGGAAGTATAGTGTGCCATCAGTGCAACGCCTGTGTCCATGCCAGGAAGTATAGTGTGCCATCAGTGCAACGCCTGTGTCCATGCCAGGAAGTATAGTGTGCCATCAGTGCAACACCTGTGTCCATGCCAGGAAGTATAGTGTGCCATCAGTGCAAAGCCTGTGTCCATGCCAGTAAGTATAGTGTGCCATCAGTGCAACACCTGTGTCCATGCCAGTAAGTATAGTGTGCCATCAGTGCAACGCCTGTGTCCATGCCAGTAAGTATAGTGTGCCATCAGTGCAACGCCTGTGTCCATGCCAGGAAGTATAGTGTCCCATCAGTGCAACGCCTGTGTCCATGCCAGTAAGTATAGTGTGCCATCAGTGCAACGCCTGTGTCCATGCCAGGAAGTATTGTATAGTGTATTGTGCAATCACTGATTGGACAGAAGTTAAAATTCCTTATTTGGCTGCAAAATGAAGAAAGTTCTCATCGTGTCTACTTTGTATATTGCTTCAAATTGTTACAAGTAGACTGCGACACGACTGTGTGACCACAACATCTTTTATAGGTTATAACTGAATTTATGTCATACCTGTGTTTCTCTTCAGGCTGTTATGGTGTTGTTGAAGTGAATGCAGAGGAAGTTTGGCGTTGTTCACGCTGTGTCAACCACATAACACAAGCAGTAAGTAGATGCACATAAGTAGACCACATAACTGACAGTAGACACAGAAGTCAACCTCATAACACATGCAGTAGACACACAGAAGTCAACCACATAACAGACAGTAGGCACACAATAGTTGACCACATTACATAGGCGGCAAGTAGATACAAAACAGCTTAAAGTTCTTGTTTTTCATACATGGATTGTAAGTAATATATATGTGTCACTGGATATTCCTACATGTGATGTCAGCTTGGTGTCATGTCATGCTTGGCTTTCTGTTGTTCAGGACTGTGGCTTATGTTTCCTGCGTGGTGGTGCACTCAAGCCTACCACCGATGGCCGCTGGGTACACATTGCTTGTGCTCTCACCACCACCGAGGTCAAGTTCCTTGAGATCGAGAAAAGAGAACCTGTTGACATTTCAAAGATCCCCCCTGCAAGATTCAAACTGGTAAGAAGATAAACCTCAAGTATTCAGATTGAAACCATGTGAATCCCCTGTACCTCTGTTTATCAATGTCTGATATAATTGTGCCCATTTATCCTTGACTGATATCAACACCTGTACCCCTGTTTATCCTTGTCTGATATCAACACCTGTACCCCTGTGTATCAATGTCTGATATGAACCCCTGTACCCCTGTTTATCCTTGTCTGATATGAACCCCTGTACCCCTGTTTATCCTTGACTGATATGAACCCCTGTACCCCTGTTTACCCTTGTCTGATATGAACACCTGTACCCCTGTGTATCAATGTCTGATATAATTGTGCCCCTGTTTATCCATGTCTGATATCAACACCTGTACCCCTGTGTATCAATGTCTGATATAATTGTGCCCATTTATCCTTGACTGATATGAACCCCTGTACCCCTGTTTATCCTTGTCTGATATGAACACCTGTACCCCTGTTTATCAATGTCTGATATGAACCCCTGTACCCCTGTTTATCCTTGTCTGATATGAACCCCTGTACCCCTGTTTATCCTTGTCTGATATGAACCCCTGTACCCCTGTTTATCAATGTCTGATATGAACACCTGTACCCCTGTGTATCAATGTCTGATATAATTGTGCCCCTGTTTATCCTTGACTGATATGAACCCCTGTACCCCTGTTTATCCTTGTCTGATATGAACACTTGTACCCCTGTTTACCCTCGTCTGATATGAACACCTTTACCCCTGTTTACCCTTGTCTGATATGAACACCTGTACCCCTGTGTATCAATGTCTGATATAATTGTGCCCCTGTTTATCCTTGACTGATATGAACCCCTGTACCCCTGTTTATCCTTGTCTGATATGAACACTTGTACCCCTGTTTATCCTTGACTGATATCATCCTTTGTACCCCTGTGCATCAATGTCTGATATCATCACATGTACCCCTGTTTATCCTTGACTGATATCAATACTTGTACCCCTGTTTATCCTTGACTGATATCACTTGTACCTGTGTTTATCCTTGACTGTTCACTGATCATCTGTACACCTGCACCTCTGTTTCAGAAATGTGTGTACTGTTCTCCAATGACCAAGAGCTGGAGCCGGGAAAACACCTGTGTCCAGTGTTCCAATGGTCGCTGCACCACAGCTTTCCATACAACCTGTGCCTTCGTTGCTGGGGTAGTGTTCGAGACAAGTGACTGGCCGTACCCTGTCTACATCACTTGTCACAAGCATGCCACTGCCCCCAAGGACAAGGTAGGTTGACACACTGTACCAGTCTGCAGTTGTGTCCACTAGAAGCCTGAGTCTTGTAACATATAATTTGGTTGTCAAAGGATCATCAGAGACAAAATTCATATATTTAGACTACATTCTACTGAAAATATCTCCTGTCGACAATTCTGGGCTTGTAGACAAAAAAGTATTTGGCACAGTGTGCTGTACAGACAGACTTGTGATCTCTATATCTATCTGTCCTCTGAACAGAGTAAGGCCCTAGAATCTGTTGGAACAGAATATCAACAGTTATCGCAGTACTTTTTTGCTCGCAAAACTTTCAGAGGTACAGTATTATCCTGCTAAGACAATATACAATTTCCATCTGTGTTCCAAAATCCTGAACACATCTGACACAGTTGCCTGACCGCTCCTGGAAGTTACACTGTGCAGCCTGTCTGCTTCCTACGAACAAATCGTCATGGTTTGGTTCCATCAATCATTTCAGCTTATTATTTCATTGTTTAATCTCATTATTATCCCCTGCCAGTAAGAGGGGAGGGGATATAGGAATGGAGTTTGTCTGTCCGTCTACATTTCAAAAACTGTTTCTCAAAAAAACCTGCTCAAGCACTTTAAGTTAGAGAATGAAGTTTTACACATTAATATTACTGGTCATGATCATAAATGGTTAAAAAATTGGTGTCTTCGTTTTTACAGAATTATGTCCCTTGTTCCGTGCTTTTCAACTTAGTGTTCTTAAAACTACTGAAGTTACATGAATGAAAGTTTGCATGCTTATCTAAGTGATAATTGTCAAGACTGAGTTCGAAAATTTGTGCCGTAAGTTATTTTTTTCCAGATTTACTTCTTTTGCTACATGTTTTTAGATTTTGAGCATACACAGATATGATCCATGTTATTTTACAAAGTGCATAGTGTCAGAAACTACTGAAGTAAGCTTATCTAACAGACACTTACCAAGTTATTTTTTCCAGAACAGAGCCTTTTGTGTGTATTAGTTTCACACTTATTCATATTTTAGTGATGATGTAAAGCAACCCTAGTACTATCTCTACTTAAGGCTTTATAGGACTCTTTTTTTATTGTTTATATTCACAGAACTATATGAACAAACAAAAGTCTTATGTGCCCCATACATAATCGTGTGTTTGAATCCTTTTTTGTCCAAAGTATGTTTCTAGGTTTGTTAGCACCATACATGTAAGCACTATACGCACCACCATGAAGATCCGGACTAGAATAGGTCTTCAGCAACCCATGCTTGCCGTAAAAGGCGACTATGCCGTTCGTAAGAGGCGACTGAGGGGATCGGGTGGTCAGGCTTCCTGACTTGGTTGATTATGTCATTCTACCCCAATTGTGTGGAATGATGCTCATGATGTCAATCACTGGATTGTCTGGTCCAGATTTGATTGTTTTCAGACCACCGTCATATAGCTGGAATATTGCTGCATGCAGTGTTCAGCAACAAACATACACTAGCATGTGACACTTTGTAGGGGAAGTGGACATGGGAGGCTGCACAGTGGTGACTTCTAGTAGAGGGATGTATTCCAGTGATGTGTTTAGGATTCCGAATAAAGTAGGAAATTGCAAGTTTTAACACAATAAATATTGAATATCTCTCATAATAGATTATTGCATTGCATGGCTGTTGTGTTGGGGTGGTATTAAGCTGCATAACTGAACCCAACAACGTCTTGTATCAACAGTAGATCTCTGTCTAAGGTTCAAAGAGATCATTGTGATACAGGATGATGATTACTGGCTGATATTACTGTATGTGCCATGCTTTCAGAGCCGGACACGTCCTGTGACTGAAGTCAATGAGGGTGACCGGGTGTTGGCAAAGCACAAGAATGGTCGCTACTATTGGTCTGAGGTGACGGACATAAAGAGACAGACATACTATGAAGTGGACTTTGAGGATGGATCTTTCAGTGACAATCTTTTTCCAGAGGACATTGAGGTATTAAGACATCACGCTTCCAACAGTTTGTTCTAATGTATGTCACGAGTTATTATCCCGTAACCTTGGTAGTGGCCATCTAGAATGTACACAGCTTCAGTCAGAAAGGTGGAGGGCAGGCTGTGTCTTGTGTGTGTCATGGAGTAGGCTAACTGTGTATTGCGTGTCATGGTGTAGGTTAACTGTATTGCGTGTCATGGAGTAGGTTAACTGTGTATTGTGTGTCATGGAGTAGGTTAACTGTGTATTAGGTGTCATGGAAAGTAGGTTAACTGTGTATTGTGTGTCATGGAGTAGGTTAACTGTCTTGTGTGTGTGTCATGGAGTAGGTTAACTGTGTATTGTGTGTCATGGAGAGGAGGTTAACTGTATTATGTGTCATGTAGTAGGTTAACTGTGTATTGTGTGTCATGGAGAGGAGGTTAACTGTATTATGTGTCATGTAGTAGGTTAACTGTGTATTGTGTGTCATGGAGAGGAGGTTAACTGTATTATGTGTCATGTAGTAGGTTAACTGTCTTGTGTGTGTGTCATGGAGTAGGTTAACTGTGTATTGTGTGTCATGGAGAGGAGGTTAACTGTATTATGTGTCATGTAGTAGGTTAACTGTGTATTGTGTGTCATGGAGAGGAGGTTAACTGTATTATGTGTCATGTAGTAGGTTAACTGTATTGCGTGTCATGGAGAGTAGGTTAACTGTGTATTGCGTATAATGGAGAGTAGGTTAACTGTATTGTGTGTCATGGAGTAGGTTAACTGTGCATTGTGTGTCATGGAGTAGGTTAACTGTGTATTAAGTTACATGGAAAGTAGGTTAACTGTATTGCGTGTCATGTAGTAGCTTAACTGTATTGTGTGTCATGGAGTAGGTTAACTGTGTCTTGTGTGTGTGTCATGGAGTAGGTTAACTGTGTATCGTGTGTCATGGAGTAGGCAAACTGTGTATTGTGTAATGAAGTAGGCTAACTGGGTATTGTGTGTCAAGGAGTGGGCTGTGTATTGTGTGTGTCAAGGAGTGTGATGTGTATTGTGTGTCAAGGAGTAGGCTGTGTATTTTGTGTGTCAAGGAGTAGGCTGTGTATTGTGTGTGTCAAGGAGTGCGATGTGTATTGTGTGTCAAGGAGTAGGCTGTGTATTGTGTGTGTCAAGGAGTGGGCTGTGTATTGTGTGTGTCAAGGAGTGGGCTGTGTATTGTGTGGCAAACTGTATTGTATTTCACACAGTAGGCCAACAGTATTGTGTGTACCTGAGTAGGCTATCTGTATATTGTGTGTCACAGAGTAGGCTAACTGTTGTTTTGTTTGACAGAGTCGAGACTGCCGGCGGGAAGGTCCCCCGGTGGAGGGGCAGGGGGTGCAGGTGCGGTGGACGGATGGGGAGCTGTATGGGGCGGTCTTCAGGCAGGTCAACTGTCAGGACATGTACACAGTGAGTGTCACTAGCCAACCTTAGGCCACACTAATTAATAATTAGATTTGCATCCAAACGAAAATTTAAAAATGTCAGTTGAAGGCAATAAATGTTGGCAGCCCTGCTACACCAGTTGTGTAACCTCCATAAGCAGGAACTTCTGTACCTTGGCTACTCTGCTGAATGATTTCACTGCTGAATTGAAGCTATAGAGTCAGGCTATAGCCACGACAACAGAAGGGTATTCAGCAAGCGTCATGAACCATGAATGTGGTCAAACACATCGTGATGCACGTGCATCTCACCACAGTCAACATGGAGATAGGCAAGTCTTAAGATTGTACCTATGATGTACCGGTAAGGCCATACAGACCCAGTGTACCTTCCAGGTTTTTTTCCCCCAGTGTATAAATATATATATATATAAAATGTATTCCTACTTAACTGCTGCCAATTGTCATGGGATACAAGACAATCTCACCAGTCCTTCTAGTGTATACTGGCTATGATGTTGTAGAGGTAGAGTATTAGAAGGAAATAGCAAACAAGAAAACTACCTCTATTACATCAGGAATTAGACCCTCACACCTCGGCAATATGTATGCATCTAGTTGATGAGGTTTATGGGTTGAAAGAAGTGATGTTTTTTCCTTCTTTGTGCATGCGTAGTTGCATTTCCTGCAAAGGATAGGGTTATCCTCATAGCTAGTAGATATTATGGCAGTAAAGGGGACATCTGTTAAAATTTAGAAGATATTATTGGGTGATTGACAGCTGAAATGGGAATTTAGTTATGTTTCTTAGTATGCTTCTGGGTTTCACTGGAGACCTGCATAACTTCAGGCTTCATCCAATGCTAAGCGGACATGTCGTGATATAACTGGAATACTGTTTGTTCAAATCGGCATTAAACCCAGCTTTCATTCTCTCACTGCTGGATTATGCTGGGAAATGGAAGTTGACAAAACCTTTGACTTAACTTATTACCTCCTGATAACAGTTTTTCCGCCTTCAAATTTCCTGCTTTGTATATTCAGATCGAGTTTGAAGATGGGTCTGTGATGACGTACAAGCGGCAGGACCTTTGGGCCGATGGGGAGGAGCTGCCCAAGTATGTCAAGTCCAGAATGGTATGTACAGCCACAGGCCGCCCTCTCAAACAGTACTGCAGTAGTGATAGCCACCTCTGTAACCACTGCAGTAGTGATAGCCACCTCTGTAACCACTGCAGTAGTGATAGCTACCTCTGTAACCACTGCAGTACAGATAGCCACCTCTGTAACCACTGCAGTAGTGATAGCCACCTCTGTAACCACTGCAGTAGTGATAGCCACCTCTGTAACCACTGCAGTAGTGATAGCCACCTCTGTAACCACTGCAGTAGTGATAGCCACCTCGATAGCCACCTCTGTAACCACTGCAGTAGTGATAGCCACCTCTGTAACCACTGCAGTTGATAGCCACCTCTGTAACCACTGCACTAGTGATAGCCACCTCTGTAACAACTGCAGTAGTGATAGCCACCTCTGTAACCACTCCAGTAGTGATAGCCACCTCTGTAACCACTGCAGTAGTGATAGCCACCTCGATAGCCACCTCTGTAACCTCTGCAGTAGTGATAGCCACCTCGATAGCCACCTCTGTAACCACTGCAGTAGTGATAGCCACCTCTGTAACCACTGCAGTAGTGATAGCCACCTCTGTAACCACTGCAGTACAGATAGCCACCTCTGTAACCACTGCAGTACAGTAGAAGTGTAACGATAAGTTGTATCCCGATACTAAGGCTGTGATATGATTTGTTTCTTGATACAGCAGTTGTACAGTACTCTTCTTTTCACAAGTTGATATTCTTTCTTTTTGCAGGTGAATCACAATCCTGAATCGTTTATTAAATTTCAGAAATCAAAGATGGGATATTGTAGGACAGAAACATATTAGTAAAGGGCACTGTGATTGTTATGCTAATTATGTCAACCATAAAATTCTAGAGAATCTGCATAAGCTTGTGGTTGAACAGTTTTTGTTATTATTCACACGTTTCTACACCAATATGACGGGTAATGTAATGTATCGTATATATTGTAATGCAGGGGTCGTACAACAATGTATTGTATCATGGTCCTAGTATTGTGTTATAGTTACACAACTGGGGTAGAGACAGATCCATAACCACTGCATGATATTGCTTGTTATTCTGCCCTGATTAGCCATTGGCTTGTCCGGTCCAGACCTATGGTCGTATACTGTATATCGCTGTGTATAAGGCAAGTTTTTCGTACCTAGCTTGTACAGGGAGGTTGTCTTAGGTGGGGTCGCTTTATAGACAGCGATATACGGTAGTTGGGGTGTCACGATGTAGCTGGAATATTGCTGATTGCGGTGTCAGCAACTAATATTTCTTGTTTGGACAGTGATTTGTACACATTGTACATAACTGGTTATCTTTTCCTCTTTTCAGTCGGCAGCCACAGAGAGGAAATATGACTGCTTTTATTCTGAGGTTGTGAAAGATAAGAGACGACCAAAACACAAGATATCTTATCTGAAGATGTTGGGATAACAAGTGACACTCACAAATTCAAGTTGAGATCTGACGATACTGGTAGAGAGTATAGCATGTCTCATACAAACTGCAGCGTACACTCTGTGGACATCCTTGCATTCCTTCATCTGATAACGTGTCTGTCTTACTACTGGGGATGTAACCCTCTCACAAGTAGCAAAGTGATAACTGCTATGTGATTGTTTGTATCATGTCATACACGTAGATAGGAGGAAGCAAAGTGTTGGGGCTTGTATCGTCACACCTCCATATTCAAGTGCAGCTTGTTAGTTTTCAGGTAATGGTGGGAAGTCCCCCCACTGAACTCAACAGGACTTCCACCCACAGCCACTCATCTTGGATTATTTAAAGGCAGCATTAAGTATTGATGTGTTTGATATCTTCTGACCAGAACCTGCATCAGCCTGGCCCTCCCACTGCCGAGGGAGGGTGGGTCGTCAGTCTGGCCCTCCTTCCTACTTTTGAGCCAGAGATTGGCAGACATTTCTGTTTGTATTAAAGAAAATTGTTGTATCTAATAAGACTTTTTTTTAAGGTATATTGTATCTTCTGCCCTGTACTTAAGGGGACAGTTGAGGTGGAAATCTTGCTGATGTCATGTCTCTGATACTGTGGTGAGAAGCTGTTATTCACTGATAGACATTCATTGTCCTCAACCCCTTCTGCCATCAGGTACAATACTCTCTGCCCAACAAGATGAAAGAGAGGGGAGTTTCTGATGTCTGTACAACCACCAGATATTTGTCAAGCATTCTGGGCACTGATAAAATCTTTTCATGTTTAGGATAATATTCGCTGTAAAGGATTATCTGGTTTTGCAATTTGTTGAACTGTTTTGAAATTTTTAATCCAAACTAACCCAGATTGAACACAATAGTTTGTTTTATAGTTTCTTACTTGACACATTCATGTTGAAAAACCTGTCATGGTTCAGGAACAATCAACAATCTGCCCTATGTATATATGTTTAAAAGTTAGATTTCCAAAACTGTTGATTGTTAAACAGGTGATTTAGGCAATGTATGGCCAAACAATGATGTCACATAAAACACAGATGGAACGTGACTGTATGTCAGGTGGAACATCATGTGACGCTCTGTGTTCGATGGAACATTATGTGACGCTCTGTGTTCGATGGAACATCATGTGACGCTCTGTGTAAGGTGGAACATCATGTGACGCTCTGTGTTCGATGGAACATCATGTGACGCTCTGTGTAAGGTGGAACATCATGTGACACTCTGTGTTCGATGGAACATCATGTGACGCTCTGTGTAAGGTGGAACATCATGTGACGCTCTGTGTAAGGTGGAACATCATGTGACGCTCTGTGTAAGGTCGAACATCATGTGACGTTCTGTGTAAGGTGGAACATCATGTGATGCTCGGTGTTCGATGGAACATCATGTGACGCTCTGTGTAAGGTGGAACATCATGTGATGCTCTGTGTTCGATGGAACATTATGTGACGCTCTGTGTGAGATGGAACATCATGTGACACCAAACGTGTGAGATGGAACATCAAGTTGCTAATGTTCCTATATTCAGATGTTGACCTCTCACCTTTCTTATTTTTTTAATTTTGATTTTGATTTCTTTGGTTAAAGTTGTCCTGATGAAGTAAATAATAGTTTGAGGTGTGTAAGTTAGGTTAAAAAAGCTTGTTAATTATTAATGTTAAGGATGGTATAGTCATGATGAAGTTTTCTCCTGTACAAGATAACTTTGTACAGGTATCCGAGACATGCTTGATATGGAACCTGCGACAGCAGTAGCGGATTGTGTCATTGTACATATCATTACTCTAACATCATTTGTAAATAATGCAGCCAGGCCCTTTAGGGTGTTGGCACATTGGTGTAGCCAACATGTCTGTAGAAGTCCCAGCTTGGAGAGGCTGTTAACTACTCCATTCCCTGTATGTAGATAGGCCAGTTTGTCTTAAAGACAACATTCAACACACTGCCAAAATTTGGAAGGAAATCGCATGTTCTAGATGGCACCATCTAAATGTTTTTGCCAAACTTGATAGTGGAGTTTTTCTCATTCTGGAACAAAATCTTGACTGTTTAGCACCATTTTTTATTTCAGAAAGTTTGAGTTTGTGGATAATTGTTATTGATGGTAAAGATGGGGACTGCCAAGATGTAACAAATTTCCTGACAAATGCGGCAGTATTTTGTTAATCGTCTTGAGTTACCATGGTTACTAGCACTTCATTAGTAGCTCTAGGAATGTTAATCCAAAACATTTAGTCACACAGGGAGGTGATGTTTTCCGACCGTGCTATTGTCCTGTACTTACAAAGCATAATACATTACACGATATATCTACTTGCATTTGGAAAGTACCTATGATAATTCACATTTGCAGATTACTCTAACACTACTTTTAAATGGCATATAAAGAAGAGCTGTATTTCAAGATAACAAAGGAAGAGAATTATCGGACAAATATAGTTGTGGGAAAAGTGCAAAGTATAACAGCATATGATTCAGTAAGGGATTTTATTTATGTGATATTTATGCAAATATACCATTATTCTTTGTAGAAATTCCTAATTTATTACATATGATTATGTTTGAAACTTGTTGATCAGTATTGGTGATAAACGCAGGTTGTATAAATGTGAGAATTTAGCCCAGGTGAGAAAGGGCACAGTGTGTACATACACCTTCATACACCAGAGTAAAAACACTTTGTATGTTTCTACTACTTCCATGTTGCACAAGTTGAAATGATGTACAATGTTTGCATTTGCAATTCACATAATAATTTATGACCCTTTACCATATTAAATGTTGATTGATTGAATTGCTGGTGTTGGGCCTTTCTTTTTGAAAGCTGTCAAATGTGACTTGTTGACTGGCGGAACCAGGGTGATGTGGACTTCTGGACCTCACTTGGATTTATTGTCCTCGTTCCTGTTTGGGTCAGTCACCTACATTCATCCTCAGAAAATAATTGTAGCAATAGAAGATTATTTTCTGAGGATGAATATAGGCGACTGAACCAAGTCTTGTAATTGATCCCAAACAGGAGCGAGGACAGAATAAATCCAAGTGAGGTCCACAAGTTTGAGAACTTTAGATGACTGTATCAAACATATGACCAGTGTCTGGGTCAGATGGCCACTTAGAAGGTACTTGGTTTTATGCTCCAGTCAACCTAGGCCTGTAGCATGGCTGCTTGTAAATATGGGCCATGATGACAGTCAACCAACGCGTGGAGCACCATAATCTTACCCAGTGTCTGATCATTGACAAGACATAAAATCAACACCATTATTGTTGTAGCTGCATTTTATTCCACCTTTTCGAGGCACAGCACTTGGCAATCCCGACTCCTATGTACAATGCTCACACACAGTACAGTGGCTTTCCCCTATAGCCAGTTGGCAATGCATTATGGGTAAGAGGTTTCCACAGAAATGTTAGAAATGGTTACAACCATACACATCAGGTAGAAAAGCTTTCACCATAGTTATAGCATTATAATTACATAGTTTACAATGGTGGCGGTATCCTCTACATACAAAAATATATACATATAGTGTGATCCACCGTGTTATTCATATCATGTACATATGTCCCCATGAGCACGTGATATACAACGAACATCTTGAGACTCGGGAGAAGCACTGCAGCAACAATTCACTTCCTTAACTCGTGTAATGCCTTCCTCATTTCAAACTTGTACTAGACATGTCAACACTTAAAATTTCAACATAGACTTGGCACTGAAATTAAAAATGTGGTAAAAAAATGTATGAATATATTGAGTCCTGCATGAGGACTTGCATTGGTTTGATGGTAACGAGCCAGAGCTATCTGAAACTGGTCAAGATAATGACTTCAGATTGTTGACCCCTCAAAATCTGAAGTTATCATCTTATGCAGATTCTGCACTTACAGCTTTGTAGGGACCCTGTTGTCAGGGACAGAACAAAGGCCTGTTGGAACAAAGGCCTGTTGGGACCGAGTCAGCAGGGTCAAAACAAAGGCCTGTAGTGACCCTGTTGGCAGGGACAGAACAAAGGCCTGGGTGCCATTGTACAAAACCTTAGCGCCACGACTGTCTTAAGTCTGTTAAGGTATTGGTGTTATGTTCACCTTAGCGCTGAGATCACTTTGTACTACGGTACCCTGAAATGTGTTTAAGGGATGGACAGATGGGCAAGCAGTGATCAAGTCATGTTATGTACAGTGTATAAAATTACAAAGTCACACACGACACACATCTTAACATGTACACAGGTCACACACGACACACATTGTGAAAGAATTAAGATAGGAACAAGTTTCTCTATACAGCCTCTTAAGACAATCTGAGGTCACTGTTGAGAGCTCCTCTGTTACATGCAGACTTGGAGTGCTTACTCATATTGCAGATCGGTTGTACCACAGGCTATTAGTAGGGCTGCGCATACTCCTGATAGGGATATAGTGAATAGTAGTGATTTGTTTACACAGGGACACACAAACTGAGCTGCAGCAGTCTGTGACTTCAGCCACAAGTCCGTAGCCCGAATCTAGTAAACTGGTTTTCAGTCTAGTACTTTGGTAATAGAAGTCCATACATTAACACCAAGAGCTACTGAAACTGATGTCAGGTCTGGGCTGGTAGACTAAAGCTTTTGTCACAGACTGCTGTAGTGTACAGTAGCGTGATGTATTTACACAGGACATGCAGACAAGGAGTGGTACAGCAACACTGGATGCGACCATGTGACATCGTGTTATTACACCAAGACAATGTTTATCTGACAGTGTGCCACCACTTAATGACTTCCACTCGATGACAACAGTGACATAACACTAAAGAAAAACAGCTACTGAAAATGAAGTCCTTTTCTTGCAACCTGCAGTGCACCTTTTACAAACCTACGCTGCAGTAGACACATTTCATCCTCAATTCTTGTTACAAACAGTTCTTCAATCTATGAAAGAAAACTCTTGATTGTCATGGCGGACAGATGTACACAGACTGGCGTGAGCAGCTGTTAGGCAAATGCAAGCGTTCACCATCAGGTGGCTATCAGAAAGTAAAATTCCTGACGAAGTTAAACAAAATAGGTACCATCTAAAAAACATTTAATTCACGGATGTGCCATTTTATGACATATATTAAACAGTTAAAATAAGTACAGCTATATATATACACATATAATAGATAGTTTCCTGGGAACAAGTAGAAGTATGGCGGCAATGACATGAACATGCCAAGTGATATGTTTTTCTAATTGTTGACTTTTGTTAAGGGTTTCCTGGGACAGTGGTCAACTTTTTGTTTTTTAGAGTTTTGTTTTATCGCTAAACAAGTACATTTTTAGAAAAAAAAGTGATCAAAAGGTTGAAACTTATGAAACAGTACACCACGTTCATCAAATAAAAACAACATAGTTTTGCACATGATCAGGGAAAGCACTTGGAGCAATGGAACACGAGAAATGCGATGCTATTCTCGGTTGAGAAGTGCGATGCTATTCTCGGTTGAGAAGAGCAATGCTATTCTCGGTTGAGAAGTGCGATGCTATTCTCGGTTGAGAAGAGCGATGCTATTCTCGGTTGAGAAGTGCAATGCTATTCTCGGTTGAGAAGTGAGATGCTATTCTCGTTTGAGAAGAGCAATGCTATTCTCAGTTGAGAAGTATGATCCTATTCTTGATTAACACTGGTAGCTCTCCAGATAGCAGACTGAAAGAAGCACATCATAAGATGGTGACAACATTCTCTAAAAAAATGTAAATTAATGAAAAATGTTTTTGATAGATGTTAAGAGAACCATCTGGTTTGGAAAGAGACATTAATGCAACTATCCTGCCTGTCCCGTATAACACTGAATGAATCCCACAGACAGGATCATTGTGTAAGTTGTGCTCCAACATGATAATGTCCGTACAACTGTGTTGGTTATAATATTTTATTATACAGCAAGATAAGCGACAAGTCAGACAAAAATCCTATTGTACTGTCACAAAAGAGACAGAACTACTTTCTTCTTCACGTAGTTCTATGAGCAAAGCAGGAAGTCTTGTCAATCACAGTAAAATACATCGGACTTGGCAAAAATGAAAAAAAACTTCTGTAAATATGAACAGTCTGTAGATTAGTGTATTCAAAATTACAGTTGCAAGTTGCTTCTATCTTGAATGTGCACAGACTTTTCACTACCAACTCCAATGTGATGTGAAAAATGATGATTTTGCCCTGAGACGTCTCAGTTTAGTACAGCAATGTATTGCTTAGTACTGCCTTACAGCAAGCAGCGCAGTGATGTATCGCTTAAAGTACTCACGGAAATGAAAAAAACCTGTTTTTCTTAATTTAAAAATCGACACAAAGTGTTACGTCGCTGTAAATACGAAATAACAAAACAACTTGAAAAGTACTAGTCTGAATTTGCTAGTTTGATCTCAGTGAACAATACAAAATGTACTTTACAGAAGGTAATTTGTCGTCACTTTCAACATTCAAAAATAAAACTAAGTCCAAATTGACATAGCAGAAACAGACTATAGGCATTACGCACCTGTTCTGACCTGTCGTCAAGGTGTCGTAGGTCATGGACATTCACCTTGATCTACTTAACCTGGTTATGCCCTGTTTCACAATAGTCTGTTTTATTCACATTTTTACTCACTTTTACTTGTAAAAAAGCATAAAAACCTTTGATACGCTGTATTTTCGCCAAGGCCCAATTAGTACTAATTGAGTTGTTTGAATATTTACATATTTTGTATATTAACTGCATTTATTTAAGATCTGAGGTTTAAGATTTTTTTTCATTTCCGTGAGTACTTTAGTACTGCTATACAGCAAGCAGCGCAGTGATGTATCGCTTAGTACTGCCTTACAGCAAGCAGTGATGTTCGCTTAGTACTGTCACAGCAAGCAGCACTGTGATTTATCACTTAGTATTGCCTAACTGCAAGTGGCACAGTGATTTATCGCTTAGTACTGTCTTACAGCAAGCCGCACAGCGCTAGATCAGTACTCACACAGCTGTACTGAAGCAATGGATGAAATCTGCAAACAAACTATTAAACTTAAACTTAACTGTTACAAGTTCCATCTGTAGAATTTAGCCAGGACATGTGACAGCACCACTGACGTGAGCAGGAAATCAAACAGTTAATGAATGTTATCAGGGGAGGTAACTCATATCAACTTCATTACACACTGACATATCACTCCACTGCTGCCCAATATGGGAATGTGTTGTCATATTCTCAGTCAAATCAAATTATTGGACTTCAATACAGGCAGTTGCACATACTGTTTGCTACAGCAAATAGCTTAGTTGTTGCCAGACAGGTTTCAAAACTTTACACAAAATATTATCTGCTGCAACATGAGGTACTGAAAAAAAAAAAAAAATTCAAAAAGGTTGAAAAATAAGTCCCAATACGATACTGGTGACTGTCTGATGTGATCCCTGCCTTCAGCACGGTTACGATGGTTACTGGTTAGCAACGTCAATGTTGGACGTGATAGCACCGGCGATGCTGGTCAACATCCAACTCCGTGAGAGTGGTCGTGGCGTAACCAGACGTGATCATCCACAGCAATGGCCGACATCTTGTCTACGAGATCGTATACAGCAAGAAGCTCTTTTTCAAGTTCCTGTCCGTCAACTGAAGTAAAGATATCTGCCGAGCACCCGCCCTCACATATGTGAATAATTGCACACACACACTTCCATCAATGCACCATGTATGTATGAAGCCTGCGCGTCCAGGAAGTGAGGTGTCCAGCACAGGAGGGTCAACCAGTAACACTTCCCAACACTGAACATTCCTGGGCTTCTAGCACTAGATGATACATTCCAACATTCAAGACCCTAATAGAAACTCACTCATGTAAAAACGTCATTTGTTATGAAAATCTGTAGATATCCAGTCTCCATGAATACATAGACTTGTATCACATAGGCTCATGGCCTGCACAGGGAGGTAACTCTGAACAGTCATGTGTTTGCAGGCGGCTTGCTGATTGGATAGATATATTGCAAGCTCCTTACATAGGTTCAAGTGTAGTCCTGCATAGAGTTTATGGCATCAAGGTCTGTGAAATCTGAAAATTGAATAAACTGTCATCAATAATGAGTCATGACTTGAGAACTGCTCATACAAAAGTCTCAGAGCAGACTGGGACACTAAGTAAATGTTGAGACGTACAGACTTAATACTGAGAGATTAATGTTATAGCTTGGTCTATAAACTGCTCAAACTTCCTCATCCTGTCAGGAAGCAAACCCTGACAGACAAACACACTAACCGCTGGCCTTGCACACCATGAGTGAGTGAGTGAGTGAGTGAGTGAGTGAGTGAGTGAGGGAGTGAGGGAGTGAGTTGGGTTTAACGCCGCTTTTAACAGTATTCCAGTTATATCACGGCGTGTCAGCTTAATGTGGGAGGAAAGCCCGAAGTGATGCAGGTCTCAGACGTTTACCACTTTGGGGAATACCACGAGCACGGGTATGGTGCTGACAAACCTAGAAACATAATCGGGGCGAATGGGATTCGAACCCACAATCATAGGTTTCTGGCGTGCCAAAAGGGACGCAACTCTGCACAGCGAATCGGGGTGCCTTAGACAACTGGGCCACCTTAAACCCAACACCATGAATGAAGGAATCAATATCCTCATTTCTTAATAATGTTGGGCGGCATAAAACCAAACTCACTCTCAAATATGTGCTCAACAATTACGACATGGTTGGTAATCTGTGGCTTGTGAGTTCAACTGACTGATTGATGACTAAACCAGATGAACCCTCTATTCTTGTATGCTTATGCCTCCAGTAATGTTAATAAGAAATGGTACTTTATGTTGACAGAACTTTTCATTTGAAAGCAATGTTACATAATGTCCCACTCTGTACAATGTCAACCAAGCCACCACACTGGACCACCTGAATCACTGGCCTCTACATATATGCACCTCCAAAAGAAACGTGAACTACAGAAACATAGAGAGGTATGTACGTTAAGAAGAGATGTTTCCAATGTGTACCACTTACTTTCAAAACTAACAATCGTCAGTGTTACCACAGAGTGTCTTTATTTTTATCATGCTATTCCGTATATTACTTCCAAACTTCCTGCACGAGACAAATGGTGCATCTTGAGTCATGGATCTACGATGTCACATGTGATGCGTTCATGAGTGCCAGTTCACACAACAGAACAGTATGTTCGTTTGTGCATCAAACCAATCTAATGTCTCTTAAATATGAGTAAATCTTCATTTGTTAACCAACATGTATGCTATACATGTTTCATTTTTCAGTCAACCCGGGATGTGTATCCAGCAAATCACTTCTATCCATTTATTGTTAGTATGTACCCAGGACAATAACAGCAACATGAGCCATTCAGTAGGTTATGTATGTGGCATTATTCGCTGTGTGCTGTGAAAAAACAAGTCATTTTCCCTGCAATTGCCTCCAGGGAGCATGAGTACAGATGCACAGGGCCGTGATGTGGGGGTAGTTCTCACCTTGTGAGGTGCTTGCTCTCCTCGTGGACCTCCATTTCTTTACTCTTGAACTCATTGAGCTCCTTCCGTATTGCCGCCTGAAACAGACAGAGACATCAGTGGTTTACATCTCACACACACTTCCACTGAAACACATGATCAAGACCAGAATGCAGGGAGGTCATAACGGGGCAACAAGTCATGTCTGAGTGGAGGGCCACAGACAGAAGTCAGTCAGGTCCTTGGGGAGCAACATCTGTGTCAGCATACAGAGGCAGTGAGCTTTTATTCATCTTCCAGCAGCATACTCAACCATGACGGGAATCAAACCCAGTCCTTGGTGTCACTGCAGGACTAGAGAGGGGCGAATTAGGGAGGTGATGATCTGTTTACTGATCTTGAGACTGATCATGGTTAAGTAGGATCTAGAGAGTGTCCTGTATTGATAAGTTTAGCAGAAACATCATCACACTGTCCCACCAACCTCAACATCATCACACTGTCACACCAACCTTAACATCATCACACTGTCCCACCGAACTTAATGTCATCACACTGTCACACCAACCTCAACATCATCACACTGTCCCACCGACCTTAACATCATCACAGTGTCACACCAACCTTAATGTCATCACACTGTCACACCAACCTTAACATCATCACACTGTCCCACCGACCTTAACATCATCACACTGTCCCACCGACCTTAACATCATCACACTGCCACACCGACCTTAATGTCATCACACTGTCACACCAACCTTAATGTCATCACACTGTCACACCGACCTTAATGTCATCACACTGTCACACCGATCTTAATGTCATCACACAGTCACACCAACCTTAATGTCGTCACACCAACCTTAACATCATCACTCTGTCACACAAACCTCAACATCATCACACTGTAACACCAACCTTAACATCATCACACTGTCACACCGACCTTAACGTCATCACACTATCACACCAACCTTAACATCATCACACTGTCACACCGACCTTAATGTCATCACACTGTCACACCAACCTTAATGTCATCACACTGTCACACCGACCTTAACATCATCACACTGTCACATCTACCTTAATGTCATCACACTGTCACACCGACCTTAACATCATCACACTGTCACACCAACCTTAATGTCATCACACTGTCACACCGACCTTAACATCATCACACTGTCACACCGATCTTAATGTCATCACACTGTCACACCGACCTTAACATCACACTGTCACACCGATCTTAACATCATCACACTGTCACACCAACCTTAATGTCATCACACTGTCACACCGACCTTAATGTCATCACACTGTCACACCGACCTTAACATCATCATATAGTCACACCGACCTTAACATCATAACACTGTCACACCGACCTTAATGTCATCACACTGTCACACCGACCTTAACATCATCACACTGTCACACCGACCTTAACATCATCATATTGTCACACCGACCTTATCTTTAGGTGTTAGTCTGGTCCAGGGTTTGTCTGCTCGACGGTCGTACATTTCTGCATCTGTCACTTCAACATAGTCATTGAACTTGATAATCTTTCTTTCCTTCAGCTCCTCGATGCTTGGTCGGAAGCTCAGCTGCAAGGGGAGACAAGTCAGTATGTTGAGTATCAAAGATTGTAATGGTGAATGTTATTCAGGGTAGACAATGATGTCTATGTTTCAAACACAAGGATGTTTCAGATTAAAAAGATTGAAATGTGACAGTAAGCAGTAGTAAATTCCCTATGGCCACTCTATACAATACAAATATGAGCCGGTGTTACCTTCCATATAGACAGAGTGATCTTCATGCTTGAATAGTATTCCTGGAGTGTCAGGCTTGTATAGTAATACCAGAGCGTCGAGCTTGTATAGTAATACCAGGCTTGTATAGTAATACTGGACTGTCAGGATTGTATAGTAATACTGGACTGTCAGGATTGTATAGTAATACCAGTGCGTCAAGCTTATATAGTAATACCGGAGTGTCTGGCTTGTATACAGCAATATATACTATGCTAAGCCCTGTCAGTATACAGTGGACTGCTTGTTTGAAAGGTGTAGCAGTGGTTCTTGTACCAAGTGGACGAGGACCACAAGAGCTCGGGTCACTTATAGCCACAGCTGCCCTTGTGCAGTGAAATCATTTACAGGGGGCCAGGGATTAATAGTCCTCTGTCCTAATGACCTATTGTCCTAGTCGAGGTGACCTATTGTCCTAGCTGTGACCTATTGTCCTGGTAGTCCTATTGTCTGGTCAGCCTGGCTCACTGGCTGGTGGTCCTTCAGTCAAAGAATGCTCACTTTGTTTAGTACAATTGGCACTTAGTATGTGGCATTGTGCGGAGATCACTGGTGAACATATTGCACTGAAGGGAGCTGTTTAAGTATTAGTATAAATAATGCCATGATTGTGTGTGCTATGTTTTATTTTCACAGTACTTCTGCCATCCTGGAGAGGTGGGGCATTGTTTGTGCTACACAAGTGTTGATGTTTGTCATTTGTTTATATTACTGACATTTGTTGACATTCTACTGTATTGTTTGTTTCTGGCTTTTTACAATTTGACTTTAAGATAAATAAATATTCCTAACAAATGTAAAAAAGAAGTTAATGTTTCCCAAATAAGCTTGGCACAGAAAAAATAGGGGGTAAATATGAGTAGAGAATGTTAAATGCTATATCATAAGCAGCTTCACTGGTCTCAATATTTACAAGTAATCAAACAACAGGCATCCTTCTAATCAGTATCATTCAAGGTTAACGAGGCAGATCAAAGTGTTGATCCCCGCCCCGCTCATTAAGGAGGTCATTGTGTGTGGGGACCTGCTGTGTGGAGGTCGGAGACCCCGGCCAGGGCACACCTACCTTTCTGATGAGATACCTCTTCTTTTCTTCCTTGTCCAACTCTCGTTCCTCATTCGTCTGATCTGAAACATAAACATCATTGTTTCACTTCATGACTTTACTGACTGCAACACGAACATCTATGTGTCACTTCACACTTACATCTGTCACAAGGTTGTTAATATCACTGTCATTTCAAAGGACATTTAGAAGCTGCTTAGTACTGTAACAAATGTTATATTTGGGATAACACTTTCTTAGTAAAGTACAGATTCTCATTCTTTTTGGGTTGTGTCCCATTTGGATTCAAACCCACACTGCCAGATGGAGGCACCTAATCACAAGCACACAAAGTCTGCGATCTAACCCACTCAGTCATCGAGGCTTCCACAAAAATAAAAGTTTGACAACTGGTAGCGGTAGTCTAGATCATGTACTTTGTGTACCCCTCTGACAAGTGTAAATTGGCACGGCTCCCATGGCTGATAGCTATGAACACACAATGCCATTTAGAAAGTGGTCAAATGTAACAAATGTTATATTTTTGATAATGCTTTCTTTGTAAAGTACAGATTCTCGTACATTTAGTACTTAGTACTGCTTCCTACATTCCACACCCTGAGTTACAGTGCTAGTTATCTCCCCTATATCATGACAGCCTACTGTCATAACTGTGCAACAAGGGGTCGCTATCACCCGTCGAGAGGAAACAGGCACGTACTATAAGACTACAGCTTACTCGGAGATTCAAATTAAAACCGGGCCACCACATCAAACACTACTCATAAAAAGTGAGTGAGTGAGTATGGTTTTACGCCTCTCTTAGCAATATTCCAGCAATATCATGGCAGGGGACACCAGAAATGGGCTTCACACATGGCACCCATGTCAGGAATCGAACCCGGGTGTTCAGCGTGACGAGCGAACACTTTAACCACTTGGCTACTCGACCGCCCCTCATGCAAAAGAGTTCAAAGCGACCAGGAAAACACTTACTGTATAAAATATTTCTCTGTTCTAACTCCTCTGGCGTGGGTCGTAAACTCAACCGCCTGTGAAACAAAACACATCAACATGAAGGCATGAGGCAAACAACAGTATGAACAGCTCAGATACAGACTATATGAGGTAAGGTGAAATGGGGTTTAACGTTGCTGCCAAGATTATTGCAGTTACGGAGCGATGTGCATGCACGTGTGCGTGTGTGCTGCATGTTCTAGTCCTGGCTAATGCCGATTTATAGTGCTAGCCTACTGAGATACCATGCTCCAGTTTAACATGAATACCCCACTCAGACACAGTACACTGTCCCTACTAATCCCCATATTGTTTTACTATCAAGCCATGTTAATATAAGCTGTACCTGGATCACAAGACAGATGGGGTTTCATGTGTCCCACGTTAAGTTTTATACAAGTCGGATGCGAGTGGTATAAAACCTAATGAGGGACGCATAAAACTCCATGTACCCCTCGTGACCCTCCTACAACGAATTTATCTTACCGACATGTTTTAAAATGACATTGTAAAAGAAATCAAACAAATTCAAAATTGATAGAAAACAGCTGTTTGATTGAGCTGAGGTTAGCTTCAACTTCAACCATATCTGTTGTGTAAACAGCAATGTTCTATCGTTCAACCTTGCATTGACATCAATTATCCACATGTATATAACCTTCCTGCTTCAAATGTTTGTAAATCACCTGCTTGATAACAGTGTTAGTATCTACACCAAAATGTAATATTCATTGTAATAACGAAGTTATTCTAAACTTTACACCTTGAACAAAATTCATAATTCAGTGTAGTTCATACAATTGATGGTTCCATTTAATGTCAGGTAAACTGTTGCATGACACCACATTTAACTTCCTGAAAGAGTTGTTAAATTTCTGATCGGTCTGGAGACATTCCCATAGATCTGGTAGCTAGTTGCAGCCCATTCACAAATCTTGATTCCTTATTCATGTTTAATCTCACCTTGTCAATTTTGATCCGATGGCTTCTCTGTCTGTTTGTTTTTCATTCGCAGACTTGTTCGGTATGATATTTTTCTCAATGAGCTCTCTCCTTGATGGTCTGTTGTTGAGGAAACGTGCAAGGCTGTCTTGCCTCGCTACCTTGGCAGCCAACCCACCTGAAACACACATAAACATTAATTGTCTAAAAGACGCTCGGACCAGCTGAACCAGTGGTACGCCATTACTGTAACTCTCAGTGGAGATCTTGGTCCTTCTCTGCATTTTGGCATCAAGGAATAAAACAGTATTACAGTGTATGAGGAATACAATAGTATCACGGTGTATGAGGAATACAATAGTATCACCGTGTATGAGGAATACAATAGTATCATGGTGTATGAGGAATACAATAGTATCATGGTCTATGAGGAATATAATAGTATCAGTGTATGAGGATTACAATAGTATCATGGTGTATGAGGAATACAATAGTATCACGGTGTATGAGGAATACAATAGTATCACGGTGTATCAGGAATACAATAGTATCACGGTGTATGAGGAATACAATAGTATCATGGTGTATGAGGAATACAATAGTATCAGTGTATGAGGAATACAATAGTATCATGGTGTATGAGGAAAACAATAGTATCACGGTGTATGAGGAATACAACAGTATCATGGTGTATGAGGAATACAACAGTATCACGGTGTATGAGGAATACAATAGTATCACGGTGTATGAGGAATACAATAGTATCACGGTGTATGAGGAATACAATAGTATCATGGTGTATGAGGAATACAACAGTATCATGGTGTATGAGGAATACAATAGTATCACGGTGTATGAGGAATACAATAGTATCACGGTGTATGAGGAATACAATAGTATCACGGTGTATGAGGAATACAATAGTATCATGGTGTATGAGGAATACAACAGTATCATGGTGTATGAGGAATACAATAGTATCACGGTGTACGTTGTATTTTAACTGTCTACAAGCACATGTTCTCACTTACTGGGACAGTCATCATCCTTATAGTGGATTTCCTCATCAGACGAGTCCGAGTCACCAGGGATGTTGTCGTAGTCCCCCTGTTGATGCACTGCTGCTGCTGCCGCCAATGCTGCTGCTGCTGCCGCTGCTGACGCCGCCTGATGCGACTGTGACATGACAGGGATGTTTTCCTTGTCACTTTCACTACAACAAGCCAAGGTCAGACTTCAGATGGGAACTTCTTTCAAGGCTTGGTGGAAAATAACATACTAAAGAAGAATGAAATACTCATATCCCCTGCCAATACTGCCATTTTCAGTCCACGTCAAAGTCGTTGCCATGTAAGCTCGAAAAATTATTTCCTTCAAAATCCCAAACTATCAAAAGGCACCAGTTCACCACTAGACCTATCAATGTGGTAAGATTGGTTAAGATATCTCTTATGGTTTTTGAGTTCTGCTCCGGAAACGGAAACATGATGAAAGGACAGAAGGACTTCGTGGCGGGGGATAATAGTAGTTCTCCAGTCACTGTAGCTTACCACGTACAGAGTGAGCCGACCGTCATACATCTTGACATCTGCAGCCAATAAGTAAGGAAAGAGTGGTATGAAGTCAATGTGTGACGACAGAATAGCCACAGCGAAACTTCTTATTCTTTTTAGATTTTAACAAACATACATGTAAAGTATTAAAACATGTAGAAAAAGCAGTTTCTACGACGTAAGCTACGATAGCTTGCCCCAGTTTGTCCCCACAATGGCCACATGGACTGCAGGTTGTGCTGGATAAAAGCAACTAACAATCCTCATGTTCTACACAAAGTAGCACCTTGATCACTGTCCTAGTGTAAAACATCTATTGTCACTGTAATGTTAATCTAGATGCCATGATCTAGTCCTCTGTAGTGGCACATATCCTACCCAACTATCAGTCATGGGACAACGTCATGGTGTGCCCCTGCTCTGGGCTTTGTGGCTTTAAGAAGATTCTTTGAGCTTTTCAATTTGCTTTTCAATTTTGTTTGAACAAATCTGAAATGCATTGTGTTCCTAAACATGTCAAGATTCCTAGACCTTTAGGTTTCTTAGATGAGGAAGTTTTAATGATTTATCCCAATTTGATCTTTATTAATTTTTAAACAGACAGACAATAAAGGCCATACCACAAGCTCTCTTTGAACTAGTATCAATCTTTTAACAGAAACAGAAAACGACAACATCAAAATGTTCGCATTAAGAGATATTAAGCAATTTTAAGACTTATAATAATACTCTTGTCCACTTACTCAGCTGCTATGGTGACATGGGCTTTCAGAGCCCCGGGTTTTCCCATCGGAGTAGGGAGTGGTGATATTTTTGGCTCTCCTGAAATGCCTGCAGTAGAAGTGTTCATTGGCCGCGCTAAGCTTGACGTCTTTTGATGTGAGATCGGTTTGGGTGCTGGGATTGGGGGAGCCTGGCCGTTTTTGAGTTTGAGAGCACTTTTGCTGGGTCGTAGAGAGAGATCAGGTTCAGAGGCTGGGATGGTTTCATATGCTGGTGGGCCGCTGTTGGGCTCCTCCGGTTCCTCCTCCTCATCGTCATCATCTGAAAACAGCAAATGGATGCTGGACCACCTGAAGACAGTTACAGCTAGAAGGAATGATCTGTGTGTGGTGCTTACCTGTAGGGGCAGGAATTATCTGGGTGCAGTGCTTACCTATAGGAGAAGGAATTATTTGTGTGACCGGTGTGCAGGGCTTACCTACAGGAGAAGGAATTATTTGTGTGACCGGTGTGCTGGGCTTACCTACAGGAGAAGGAATTATTTGTGTGACTGGTGTGCAGTGCTTACCTTTAGGAAAAGGAATTATTTGTGTGACCGGTGTGCCGGGCTTACCTATAGGAGAAGGAATTATTTGTGTGACGGTGTGCAGTGCTTACCTGTAGGGGCAGGAATTATCTGTGTGACCGGTGTGCCGGGCTTACCTATAGGGGCAGGAATTATCTGTGTGACCCTGTCATTGAAGCTGACCAGGGAGTTCTGTGCATCCGCAGAGGGGGGATAGGTGGGAGGAGGTGGCTGCATCAACTCCATGGGTGGCACCACTGGAGGGGGCACCACGACTGGCCGCACGCTAGCAGAGGACGATACTGCAACAGAACACAGCATCAGTTACAGGATGCCAAAAACTGTACACACAAGAAACCATACAAGACACCATATTAGAGACATTGTGTGAATGACAGCAGTGTTAAACTAACGATACGATAACCAGACAGTACTGCCAGCCTCTTGCCACGGGTAGGAGTGAGTGAGTGAGTGAGTGTGGTTTTACGCTACTTTTAGCAATATTCCAACACGGCGAGGGACACTGGAAAATGGGTTTCACACATTGTATATATGTGGGAATCGAACCCGGCTCTTCGGGGTGACAAGCCAATGCTTTAACCACTAGGCTACCCCACTGCCCCGCGAGGTGTAGGAAGCATGAAGTCAGATGGAAAGGTCAGCGTAAAACAAGAATAATATACGCCTGCTTGCCCCACATTCCCAAACACATTAACTCGACACTAACCTCCCCATCAACCCCACTAAACCCCCATCAATGCCACATCAACCCCCCATCAACTACCACAAGCCCGTACCAATCCAACATAAACCATCGATATCCTCCTCCTATTTTTTTATATGTGCATAATATCACAAATCAGAATGGCTGAAAACAACTAAACTTCATTCTTGGAGACAAGGTAAGGATCTGCAGTAAACAATCTGGTCCTGTAAAACAGATTATCCTAAACAAACAGGAGGTAAATGTTGGCTGTGACAGCCATCTTACTCTAACTATGTCATTATGGTGTAAACAGATCCACGTTCATCTGGCTGCCTGCCACTGCAGGTTGCACCCTGTCTACAAGAAAACCCTTCCCACAAGCCTCTCAACCCCCTCACTATAACAACACTCACAACACTCAAACCTCTAACAAACATTCCATACAATCTCATTAAGTGGGCCCACAAAAGATTCTTTAAAACAAAACCTTTTGTCATTTAGTATACAATAACAAGGATATAAGCTATATACCATGATTCCTGTTATCAGTGTTATATAGAGGGAGCAGCACTATATAGAGGGAGCAGGTGGCGGAGTGGATACCTGGGAGATCAGACACAACTGTGCTGGGGAAACCTGATGAATACTCCTGGACTACTTAGGGCACATGGTGGCCTTCACTGGTTCCTCAGCCAAACATGGCTATGTTACCCTATTTGTTGCCCTACACTCTGTCACCCCTATGTACCCTTAAAACCCTCATTACCCTACTGTACCCCTTTACACCCTTGGTACCCTACTGTACCCCTTTACACCTCATTCTCCCACTGTACCCCTTTACACCCTCATTACCCTACTGTACCCCTTTACACCCTTGGTACCCTACTGTACCCCTTTACACCCTCGGTACCCCACTGAACCCCTTTACACCCTTCTTACCCTACTGTACCCCTTTACACCCTCATTACCCTACTGTACCCCTTTACACCCTTGGTACCCTACTGTACCCCTTTACACCCTCGGTACCCCACTGAACCCATTTACACCCTTCTTACCCTACTGTACCCCTTTACACCCTCGGTACCCCACTGAACCCCTTTACACCCTTGTTACCCTACTGTACCCCTTTACACCCTTGTTACCCTACTGTACCCCTTTACACCTCATTCTCCCACTGTACCCCTTTACATCCTCATTATCCTACTGTACCCCTTTACACCCTTGGTACCCCACTGTACCCCTTTACACCCTCGGTACCCCACTGAACCCCTTTACACCCTTGTAACCCTACTGTACCCCTTTACACCCTCATTACCCTACTGTACCCCTTTACACCTCATTCTCCCACTGTACCCCTTTACACCCTCATTACCCTACTGTACCCCTTTACACCTCATTCTCCCACTGTACCCCTTTACACCCTCATTACCCTACTGTACCCCTTTACACCCTTGGTACCCCACTGTACCCCTTTACACCCTCATTACCCTACTGTACCCCTTTACACCCTTGGTACCCCACTGTACCCCTTTACACCCTCATTACCCTACTGTACCCCTTTACACCCTTGGTACCCCACTGTACCCCTTTACACCCTCATTACCCTACTGTACCCCTTTACACCCTCATTACCCTACTGTACCCCTTTACACCTCATTCTCCCACTGTACCCCTTTACACCCTCATTACCCTACTGTACCCCTTTACACCTCATTCTCCCACTGTACCCCTTTACACCCTCATTACCCTACTGTACCCCTTTCCACCCTTGGTACTCCACTGAACCCCTTTACACCTCATTCTCCCACTGTACCCCCTTATTACCCCACTGTACCCCTTTACACCCTTGTTACCCAAATGACCCCCTTTACACCTCATTCTCCCACTGTACACCTTTACACCCTTGTTACCCCACTGAACCCCTTAACACCCTTGTTACCCCACTGAACCCCTTTACACCCTTATTACCCCACTAAACCTCTTAACACCCTTGTTACCCCACTGAACCTCTTTACACCCTTATTACCCCACTGAACCCCTTAACACCCTTATTACCCCACTGAACCTCTTTACACCCTTATTACCCCACTGAACCCCTTTACACCCTTATTACCCCACTGAACCTCTTTAGACCCTTATTACCCCACTGAACCTCTTTAAATCCTTATTACCCCACTGAACCCCTTAACCCCCTTGTTACCCCACTGAACCCTTTAACACCCTTGTTACCCCACTGAACCTCTTTACACCCTTATTACCCCACTGAACCTCCTTACAACCTTATTACCCCACTGAACCCCTTAACACCCTTGTTACCCCACTGAACCCCTTTACACTCCACTGAACCCTTTAACACCCTTGTTACCCCACTGAACCTCTTTACACCCTTATTACCCCACTGAACCTCTTTAACACCATTATTACCCCACTGAACCCCTTAACACCCTTGTTACCCCACTGAACCCCTTAACACCCTTATTACTCCACTGAACCTCTTTACACCCTTGTTACCCCACTGAACCCCTTAACACCCTTATTACCCCACTGAACCTCTTTACACCCTTATTACCCCACTGAACCCCTTTACACCCTTGTTACCCCACTGAACCCCTTTACACCCTTGTTACCCGACTGTACACCTTTACACCCTCATTACCCCTTAACACCCTCGTTACCCATTTACACCCTCGTTACCCGGGTTCGATCCCCGACATGGGTACAATGTGTGAAGCCATTTCTGGTGTCCCCCGCCGTGATATTGCTGGAATATTGCTAAAAGCGGCATAAAACCATACACTCTCTCACTCACTCACTACAAGGGGGATGTTATTTCTCACCTGTGATATTACTACAAGGGGCTGTTACTTCTCACCTGTGATATTACTACAAGGGGCTGTTACTTCTCACCTGTGATATTACTACAAGGGCTGTTATTTCTCACCTGTGATACTACTACAAGGGGTGTTATTTCTCACCTGTGATATTACAAGGTGCTGTTATTCTCACCTGTGATATTACTACCAGGGGATGTTATTTCTCACCTGTGATACTACTACAAGGGGTGTTATTTCTCACCTGGGATATTACAAGGTGCTGTTATTCTCACCTGTGATATTACTACCAGGGGATGTTATTTCTCACCTGGGATATTACTACAAGGGGTGTTATTTCTCACCTGTTATATTACAAGGTGCTGTTATTCTCACCTGTGATATTACTACAAGGGGATGTTATTTCTCACCTGTGATATTACTACCAGGGGATGTTATTTCTCACCTGTGATATTCCTAAAAGGGGATGTTATTTCTCACCTGTGATATTACTACCAGGGGATGTTATTTCTCACCTGTGATATTACTACCAGGGGATGTTATTTCTCACCTGTGATATTACTACCAGGGGATGTTATTTCTCACCTGTGATATTACTACCAGGGGATGTTATTTCTCACCTGTGATATTAATACAAGGGGATGTTATTTCTCACCTGTGATATTACTACCAGGGGATGTTATTTCTCACCTGTGATATTAATACAAGGGGCTGTTATTTCTCACCTGTGATATTACTACCAGGGGATGTTATTTTTCACCTGTGATATTCCTACAAGGGGCTGTTACTTCTCACCTGTGATATTACTACAAGGGGATGTTATTTTTCACCTGTGATATTCCTAAAAGGGGATGTTATTTCTCACCTGTGATATTACTACAAGGGGATGTTATTTCTCACCTGTGATATCACTACAAGGGGTGTTTTTTCTCACCTGTGATATCACTACAAAGGGATGTTATTTCTCACCTGTGATATTACTACCAGGGGTGTTATTTCTCACCTGTAATATTCCTACAAGGGGATGTTATTTCTCACCTGGGATATTAAAAGGTGCTGTTATTCTCACCTGTATTATTACTACAAGGGGATGTTATTTCTCACCTGGGATATTACAAGGTGCTGTTATTCTCACCTGTGATATTACTACAAGGGGATGTTATTTCTCACCTGTGATATTACTACCAGGGGATGTTATTTCTCACCTCTGATATTAATACAAGGGGCTGTTATTTCTCACCTGTGATATTACTACAAGGGGATGTTATTTTTCACCTGTGATATTCCTACAAGTGGCTGTTACTTCTCACCTGTGATATTACTACAAGGGGATGTTATTTTTCACCTGTGATATTCCTAAAAGGGGATGTTATTTCTCACCTGTGATATTCCTACAAGGGGATGTTATTTCTCACCTGTGATATCACTACAAGGGGTGTTTTTTCTCACCTGTGATATCACTACAAAGGGATGTTATTTCTCACCTGTGATATTACTACCAGGGGTGTTATTTCTCACCTGTAATATTCCTACAAGGGGATGTTATTTCTCACCTGTGATATTACTACCAGGGGTGTTATTTCTCACCTGTAATATTCCTACAAGGGGATGTTATTTCTCACCTGTGATACTACTACAAGGGGTGTTATTTCTCACCTGTGATATTACTACCAGGGGTGTTATTTCTCACCTGTAATATTCCTACAAGGGGATGTTATTTCTCACCTGGGATATTACTACCAGGGGTGTTATTTCTCACCTGTAATATTCCTACAAGGGGATGTTATTTCTCACCTGTGATACTACTACAAGGGGTGTTATTTCTCACCTGTGATATTACAAGGTGCTGTTATTCTCACCTGTGATATTACTACCAGGGGATGTTATTTCTCACCTGGGATATTACTACAAGGGGATGTTATTTCTCACCTGTGATATTACAAGGTGCTGTTATTCTCACCTGTGATATTACTACAAGGGGATGTTATTTCTCACCTGTGATATTACTACCAGGGGATGTTATTTCTCACCTCTGATATTAATACAAGGGGCTGTTATTTCTCACCTGTGATATTACTACAAGGGGATGTTATTTTTCACCTGTGATATTCCTACAAGGGGCTGTTACTTCTCACCTGTGATATTACTACAAGGGGATGTTATTTTTCACCTGTGATATTCTAAAAGGGGATGTTATTTCTCACCTGTGATATCACTACAAGGGGTGTTTTTTCTCACCTGTGATATCACTACAAAGGGATGTTATTTCTCACCTGTGATATTACTACCAGGGGTGTTATTTCTCACCTGTAATATTCCTACAAGGGGATGTTATTTCTCACCTGGGATATTACTACCAGGGGTGTTATTTCTCACCTGTGATATTAAAAGGTGCTGTTATTCTCACCTGTATTATTACTACAAGGGGATGTTATTTCTCACCTGTGATATTACTACCAGGGGATGTTATTTCTCACCTCTGATATTAATACAAGGGGCTGTTATTTCTCACCTCTGATATTAATACAAGGGGCTGTTATTTCTCACCTGTGATATTACTACAAGGGGATGTTATTTTTCACCTGTGATATTCCTAAAAGGGGATGTTATTTCTCACCTGTGATATTACTACAAGGTGCTGTTATTTCTCACCTGTGATATCACTACAAGGGGTGTTTTTTCTTACCTGTGATATCACTATAAAGGGATGTTATTTCTCACCTGTGATATTACTACAAGGGGTGTTATTTCTCACCTGTGATATTACTACAAGGGGTGTTATTTCTCACCTGTGATATTACAAGGGGATGTTATTTCTCACCTGTGATATTACAAGGGGGTGTTACTTCTCACCTGTGATATTACAAGGGGGTGTTACTTCTCACCTGTGATATTACTACCAGGGGCTGTTACTCATCACCTGTGATATTCCTACAAGGGGATGATATTTCTCACTTTGGTATTGCTGCAAAGGGGTGATATTTCTCACCTGTGGGATTAATACTTGTGGGCGTTATTTCTGCCTGGGTGGTGATGGTGGAGGATGTGGATGATGCTGCTGGCTGTGTTGATGCAACAACGTCTGCAGCTAGTCCACTGGATGTGGTTGTCGTGGTAACAGTAGACGATCCGTCGACACTGATGTCCTGTTTTGACCTCCCCTCAGTTGTATCATCAACCGTCTCCTCTTCGGCAGATTCCTTCACAGACTCTGAAACCATAAACCATTCATTTAAAACTCATGCTCAATCACTGAGATGACCCAATGTTGATGATGGCCGGATGTTTGGGATAGTGAGATGTTGGGATTAGTTGGCTGTTGGGGATAGTTGGCTGTTTGGGATAGTTGGATGTTTGGGATAGTCGGATGGTGAGGAAAGTTGGATGTTGGGGATAGTCAGATGTATGGGGATAGTCTGCTGTTGAGGATAGTCGGATGTTGGGATAGTTGGATGTTTGGGTATAGTCGGATGTTGGGGATAGTGGGATGTTGGGGATAGTCGGATGTTGGGGATAGTTGGATATCTGGGATAGTCGGGTAAGTAGAGTAGCCTGATATTTGGGGGTAGTTGGGTGTGAGGGGATACTTGGGGATAGTCAGGGTTAGTAATAATGTGAGTAAGTGAGAGTGAGTTTGAGGAAATGTGAATGAGTGTGTGTGATTGAGAGTGTGAATGTGAGTGAGTGAGTGTGAGGTGAAATGGGGTTTTAAGTCGCTTCCAAGATTATTGCACTTATATAGCAACATGCATGTATGTGTGTGTTTGTGTGTGACTGCTTGTACTAGTCCGGACTGATGCCGATTCATAGTGCTGGCTCATTGAGATACCATGCCGCAGTTTAACATGAATACCCCACTCAGACACAGTATACTGACTCCAAGCCGACCAGTCCTTGTTTTAGCCCCTTAATGCTGGGTGCCAGACAGGGTAACAACAAGTACCATCTTTTAACGTCTTTTGGTATGACGTGGCCGGAGATCGAACCCCGGACCTTCTGTTATCTGGGCGGACGCTCTACCACTAGACCATGGAGGCGGTTGAGTGATTGTGAGTGAGTGTATGAATGAGTGAGAGTGAATGTGAGTCCGTTGGAGTGTTTGTTTTTTTTTGTTTAACGCCGCACGCAGCAATATTCCAGCTATATGACGGCGGTCTGTAAATAATCAAGTCTAGACTAGACAATCCAGTGATTGACAACATGAGCATCGATCCACGCAAGTGGGATCGATGACATGCATCAACAAAGTCAGCGAGTGTGTGTGTATGTAGTGCGTGTGTATGTAGTGCATGTGTGAGTGTGCGTGTGTGCGTGTGTGAGTGTGTGAGTGTGTGAGTGTACAAGCCAGAGCACTAATCCATGCCATCAGAGTACTGAAGAAGACACACCAAGCTTGACATCCAGTGTGTGAGTGTGTGAGTGTGTGAGTGTGTGAGTGTGTGAGTGTGTGAGTGTACAAGCCAGAGCACTAATCCATGCCATCAGAGTACTGAAGAAGACACACCAAGCTTGACATCCAGGTCCCCACACGTATCCTGCCCCGGATCCCCACAGGGTGACAATTTCCAGTATGATATCCAATGGTATCAATCACCAGTAATAAATATCCATCAAAGACAAGAGTGGTATCCCTACAGAAGTGCCTCACACATTGGAGAGCTGTCTGTGGCTAAATGTCCCCTACCACCTCAAGGACTCGGTGTGTTTACAAATGCGACTCAACATACCTGTAAATGGTGTGATGCAAGCGCCACAAGAGTTGTGTACGCCGGCTGGAATCTGAGGCGGCTGTGAGGGAAGCCTCCAGTAGCGTGTGTAGAGCTATATATATAGCCCACATCCCAGGGCAGACATAACAGCAGGATTACTCTCCTCCACACCCTGGCTGTGTTACAAGCAGAATTCTCCAGTGCCAAACCCTCCCTTCATCAACTCACTCTTAGGCCATTATGAAGTAATTAGAACATATTTCAAGCCTGTCTCACTTCATAACCCCCTCTCTGCCTCACTTCATAACCTCCTCTCTGTCTCACCTCATAACCCCCTCTCTGCCCCACTTCATAACCCCCTCTCTGTCATACTTCATAACCCCCTCTCTGCCCCACTTCATAACCCCCTCTCTGCCTCACTTCATAACCCCCTCTCTGTCTCACCTCATAACCCTCGCTCTGCCCCACTTCATAACCCCATCTCTGCCCCACTTCATAACCCCCTCTCTGCCCCACTTCATAACCCCCTCTCTGTCTCACTTCATAACCCCCTCTCTGCCCCACTTCATAACCGCCTCTCTGCCCACTTCATAACCCCCTCTCTGCCCCACTTCATAACCCCCTCTCTGCCCCACCTCATAACCCCCTCTCTGCCTCACTTCATAACCCCCTCTCTGTCTCACCTCATAACCCCCTCTCTGCCCCACCTCATAACCCCCTCTCTGCCCCACTTCATAACCCCCTCTCTGTCTCACCTCATAACCCCCTCTCTGCCCCACTTCATAACCCCCTCTCTGTCTCACCTCATAACCGCCTCTCTGCCCCACCTCATAACCCCCTCTCTGCCCCACCTCATAACCCCCTCTCTGCCCCACTTCATAACCCCCTCACTGCCATACTTCATTACCCCCTCACTGCCATACTTCATAACCCCCTCTCTGCCCCACTTCATAACCCCCTCTCTGCCCCACCTCATAACCCCCTCACTGACATACTTCATTACCCCCTCACTGCCATACTTCATAACCCCTTCTCTGCCCCACTTCATAACCGCCTCTCTGCCCCACCTCATAACCCCCTCTCTGCCATACTTCATTACCCCCTCACTGCCATACTTCATAACCCCCTCTCTGCCCCACTTCATAACCCCCTCTCTGCCCCACCTCATAACCCCCTCACTGACATACTTCATTACCCCCTCACTGCCATACTTCATAACCCCTTCTCTGCCCCACTTCATAACCGCCTCTCTGCCCCACCTCATAACCCCCTCTCTGCCATACTTCATTACCCCCTCACTGCCATACTTCATAACCCCCTCTCTGCCCCACTTCATAACCTCCTCTCTGCCCCACCTCATAACCCCCTCTCTGCCCCACTTCATAACCCCTTCTCTGCCCAAATTCATAACCCCCTCTCTGCCCCACTTCATAACCGCCTCTCTGCCCCACCTCATAACCCCCTCACTGCCATACTTCATTACCCCCTCACTGCCATACTTCATAACCCCCTCTCTGCCCCACTTCATAACCCCCTCACTGCCTCACTTCATAACCCCCTCTCTGCCTCACTTCATAACCCCCTCTCTGCCCCACTTCATAACCGCCTCTCTGCCCCACCTCATAACCCCCTCTCTGCCCCACTTCATAACCGCCTCTCTGCCCCACCTCATAACCCCCTCTCTGCCCCACTTCATAACCCTCGCTCTGTCTCACCTCATAACCCCCTCTCTGCCTCACTTCATAACCCCCTCTCTGCCTCACTTCATAACCCCCTCTCTGCCCCACTTCATAACCGCCTCTCTGCCCAACCTTATAACCCCCTCTCTGCCCCACTTCATAACCCTCGCTCTGCCTCACCTCATAACGTCCTCTCTGTCTCACCTCATAACCCCCTCTCTGCCCCACCTCATAACCCCCTCTCTGTCCCACTTCATAACCCCCTCTGTGCCCCACCTCATAACCCCCTCTCTGCCCCACTTCATAACCCCCTCTCTGCCCCACTTCATAACCCTCGCTCTGCCTCACCTCATAACCCCCTCTCTGTCTCACCTCATAACCTCCTCTCTGCCCCACCTCATAACCCCCTCTCTGCCCCACTTCATAACCGCCTCTCTGCCCCACCTCATAACCCTTGCTCTGTCATACCTCATAACCCCCTCTCTGCCCCAATTCATAACCCCCTCTCTGCCCCACTTCATAACCGCCTCTCTGCCCCACCTCATAACCCCCTCTCTGCCCCACCTCATAACCCCCTCTCTGCCCCAATTCATAACCCCCTCTCTGCCCCACTTCATAACCCCCTCTCTGCCCCACCTCATAACCCCCTCTCTGCCATACTTCATAACCCCCTCTCTGCCCCACTTCATAACCGTCTCTCTGCCCCACCTCATAACCCCCTCACTGCCATACTTCATTACCCCTTCACTGCCATACTTCATAACCCCCTCTCTGCCCCAATTCATAACCCCCTCACTGCCTCACTTCATAACCCCCTCTCTTCCTCACTTCATAACCCCCTCTCTGCCATACTTCATAACCCCATCTCTGCCCCACCTAATAACCCCATCTCTGCCTCACTTCATAACCCCCTCTCTGGCCGACTCCATAACTCCCTCTCTCCAGGTGAGATAAGGCAATGCACCAATCAAACAAATCCCCTCACTGTACATTCCCCCCGCACCTTCCCTTCATGAACTGGGTAACCACGGATACACCTCCTTCCTAGATTCAACACAGTGCACACATCAGACTGGAACTACTTAAAAGAATAGAGCTTTCAGAATAACAAAAGTGGTATAGTTCTTATATGTGACATGGTACACGCCTGATACAAGAGTGGTACAGTCCTTATATGTGATCCTTACATTGTATTTAGCGAGCCTTATCATTCTTCAATTCTGTGCTCGAAAAATCTCTTCCCATCTGTCACAAACATTACTTAAACATTGCAAGTTTTCCTGGTATGTGCACATTAATATATATTACGTAAGAAGGTAAGTGACGTGTCCGTCGGACAGTGACAACAGTCAATATAGATCCAACTGAAACCTGTTTCTTATACAGCGGTGTTACGACATATAGGCAAAACAACAATTGCCTACACAAATTGTTTCTTCTTACCTTTTGCGGCAATCTATCTGTCTGTCCGCTAGAGTAACTGCCCTTTACCTAGTCTATGAGACGTCACGTTTGTATTAGAGTTTGCCTGTCCTGTCATAACGTTACTAAGTGCAGTCACATGTACACACAGCGACAAAACGCCACAAGGTAACAATTGAGAATTATTTCGGCCAAATCCAACTTTTAATTTGGAGAAAAGGTTCCAAGCCTCAGACATCTACAAGATATGGAAACCGATTCCGCAACGCAAATATCCTCTCTAAATTGTTTCATAATATATATCCAAAGCTGCCAAAACTTGTAAAATGCCTTGGCTAAGTCACAGTTAGATTTGATTTTTCAGATATTGTTTTGATAATGTTAACAATTATCCCAGTAGT